TCCTGAAATGATCGGGAAACAAGCACACATGCAAGCGGGAAGGACCACCGTCGATGGGGATGACAACAAGACCTCGAGAAGCAACAGCGTGGCGGGAGGGGTCCATAGGAGCAACGTCGATGCTTTGCTGAAGTTTGTGCAGCAGCGAAAAGCGCGAAGAGACCTGAGAATAAGGAGACGAGGCTTCGACGAGAATGTGCACATCAAGGCCTTCAGAGGAGCCAAACATGGAGAACGAGAGAGGACCCATGTTGATACGGCAAGCGACAACGTAGAGCGATGCGCAAAGTGCGTGGGAATCAAAGGCAGCCACAACTATACAGCCCATGAACCGCCGTAGCATGTGCCGAATGGGGAGCGGAAGGAGCACGGGAGGTCCGAACCGATATTGAGTAAGCAATTTCCATGTAAGGGAATTGCACGATTCTCCGCCAAAAACCAAACGATACTTCCTGTAAGACCCACTACTAAAGTAGCGGGAATCCGTACTATTTCCATATAATAAAGTCCTCATAGATTCGTGTAAAGACAAACTCGAACATCCTCGCTCCATGTAAGCGTACAACACTGCATCATCCAACCATCCGTACAATTCTAAGTGAGCCCTGGCTCGTCCTGGATACCCCTCTTGATCTTCAACAAAATCGCTGTCTTCCAGTTGTCTAGCTTCACGACCTGGTCGAACTCGAAGACCGCGGCGGTGAAGGCCTCCTGGTCTCCGGCGTCTAGTGCGTCGATCAAGGCGCCAATGAACTTGGCCTCGCGCGTAGATGAGAAGGTGGTATCCATTCCGCTGTACTTCGTCATGTAGCGTCTCGCAGTTACGACATCCTATAAGAGGGTTTGAGTGACCATTCGACGGCATATACAACAACAAGGCCTCACCGGAATCGCAAGGCAGCAAAGGAGGGCTCTGAGCCAATACTCCTTCACGCTGTACTTGGTCAGAGCAGAGCCAAGCGAATGGTCGGCAACTTGCTCGTAGCGAGCGATAGCGGCAGGGTACTCCTCAAGGTCGGCATGAAGATCAGCAGCATCCTTGAAACAGGCGTTTGCGGTACTACGGCACGAACTTATGAGCAAGGGGTGTAGAGCAGTGGAATACATATGGGGAACGTACGCAATCGCATCCTCCTGGGCATACCAATCACCTGCCCGTTCGAAACTCTCGCAAGCTCGTCGGAGGTCGTTCTGCTCCTGGAGATAAATCTGGCCGATCTCCTTCTCCCTATCTGCTGCTTGCCGGAAGCGACCGCCTTGGGTGAAGTGGACGATAGTTTGGGACAATGCCTGGATAGCGACTATACACAACCCGTCGGTGAATCAGTTGCAAGTCAATATTGATACCGTATACACGCACGCTCTGGGTAACCCCTCTTGTACGCCTTGGCCGAGTTCCACCAGGCATTAGCAGCATCGTTTGCCTCCTTGCACTTCTCCCTGCACTCCGCCTCCCGGGCAAAGCAGTCGCCCGCCTCTTTAAACATCTTGTCGATCTTAAACGAGTTGGCGGCCTGTTGGTAGAGATCGCCAGCCTCCTCAAATTTGGTGGACGAAGAGCCGAACCATCCTGTCGACGCGTTTGCCTTCTTGTCCGCCTTCTCAAGCAGCGACTGTGCGGGTGATTTAGGGGCCATGAATGGGAGTGTGTAGTCTGAGTGTAAGTAACGAGGCTGGTTGAGGGTGTGCTTTGGCGGTGGTGGACAGAAAGAAGGACGGGTCCGTGGACCAAGTGATGTGATGACGTCATACTGCTTAACTACAGCACTGTTCCAGCATGTTCCTAAAGATAGACCACTGCCATCTCCCGCCGTGTCCGTACCGCCTCTTCCTCGTCCTACGCCGCGACCTCTCCGAGCGCTACATAAATAAGTAGCCACGTTTATCTCAGAAGATAACTTGTTTTCAATCCACCATGTCGTCTCTCCCTGTCGAAACCATCGCATCCCTCGCCGACCAACACCCCAAGCCGGCGCACATCACCTTTCAGTATGGAACCGCAGGCTTCAGGACACTGTACGTCCGAATCCCTTTCATCGTAGCAGCAGACGCGTACTAATCGCGTTTCTTGTTCAGTGGTAATGTCCTCGACTCGGTACTCTTCCGAGTTGGTGTTCTGGCCGCTTTGCGGAGCAAGAAACAGGACGGAAAGGTCATCGGAGTTATGGTCACTGCATCCCACAACCCGGAACCCGTGCGTGAATCGTCTTGATGCGACTCACGGTCTTGATTTTGAACCGTCGATTGTCACTAGGACAATGGCGTAAAGCTCGTTGATCCCCGCGGTGAGATGCTGGAGGCCTCATGGGAAGGCCACGCCACAACGCTCGCCAACGCTGCCACCACCGAAGACTTCATCGCCGTGCTCGAGAACATTGTCAAAACCACCAAGATCGACCTTTCAAAACCTGCTCGCGTCGTATATGCTCGGGACACTCGTCCTTCGGGTCCCGCTCTCGTTGCGTCGCTCGAAGATGGTTTCAAGGCTATCGGTGCTGAAGCGAGGAATGGTGGCGTCACCACCACACCCATTCTTCACTATTACGTTCGTGCGATGAACACCAAGGGCACAAAAGATGCGTACGGTGAGGATACGGAGGATGGATACTTCACGAAGCTCAGCACTGCGTTTGGAAAACTGGTGGTGAGCTTGCTCTCATTCAACGCCCAGGGCAGCGTGCTTAACCCCAGGTTGCCCAGTCTGGCAAGGCCCCCTTGCCGCCCCTCATCGTAGACTGTGCCAATGGTGTCGGTGCAGACGGTATCGCCAAAATATCCCCTTACCTGGGCGACCACCTCAAGCTTGTGGCTGTGAATACCGCCACAACAACCTCTGGCGCGCTTAACAACGCCTGTGGTGCCGACTACGTGAAGACATCCCAGAAACTCCCCCCGTCTCTTGCAGGCCACATTAAGCCCGGCCAGCGTGCTTGCAGTCTGGATGGCGACGCAGATCGATTGATCTACTACTACATGGATGACCGAAACCAGTTCCATATGCTCGATGGAGATAAGATCGCTGCTCTGGTGGCGGCCTTCATCGTTGATCTCGTCAAGACTGCTGGCCTTGAGGAGGATATCAAGGTTGGCGTCGTGCAAACGGCGTACGCGAACGGTGCATCAACAAAATACCTGACGGAGGTAAGTTCTTCATTGCACGAATCGAGGATCACACAGATTCGCAGAAATTGATACTCTCCTAACTGACAGCGTGTACCCGTCCGATGCGTTCCTACTGGTGTCAAACACCTCCACCATGCCGCCGAACATTATTCCGTTGGCGTCTACTTCGAAGCCAATGGTCACGGCACCGTCCTCTTCTCCTCCGAGACCCAAGCAAAGCTTGCCTCCCACGAACCTTCTACCCCCGCCCAATCCACCGCGCTGAACTACCTCAAGTCCCTCACGGAGCTCATCAACCAAACCGTCGGCGACGCTATCTCCGACATGCTCCTCGTCGAGGCCGTCCTCGCACACAGGTCCTACTCCGGCGTCGAGTGGGACTCGCTTTACGTCGACTTGCCGAATAGGCTCGTGAAGGTCGTTGTGGCGGATCGTCATGCGTTCCATACGGAGGATGCGGAGAGGAAGTTGGTCAGTCCTAAGGGATTACAGGCGAAGATTGATGATCTTGTGAAGCGGTATGATGGTGGACGGTCCTTCGTTCGGCCGAGTGGAACGGAAGACGTCGTTCGTGTTTATGCGGAGGCGGTCATCCGGTCCCATGCGGATGGTACGTGTCTCGTTCCCCTTTCGACCCTTCCATTTGCTCAAAGCTGTTTGTCTTGGATTCTTCAGACTTGGCCTTCCGTGTGGCTGGACTCGTGTACGACGAGACTGGCGGTGACCCCGCTACTCGTCCCAAAGAGTTCATCTGAACATGAGCCTGACGATACCACGTATGAAAAAAGAGAAGTATGTATAATCTATGAAGTTTTCTGGGGTATCATGGGGTAAAAAAACTCTGTGTATACACAAATGGACGGTTGGATAACAATGTATAGCATAAAAAAGAAAGTCGCTCCTCACCATCGCTTTGACCGTGACGCGATATGACTCCGATGAGCTCTATGAGCTCTGCAAAGCGACATGCAAACAAAAACAAAGAGTATATAAAATGTGGACGAGTAAGAACATAGAGCCCTGAGCATGGGCGTAGAGGAACAATAGCGAGATAGCGACGGTGAAGAATCAACCAGACAGAAGAGGGTGCGACATGAGATGCTCGTTTAGCGGTAGTATCTGTGGTTAGCTGGAGCTGGATGAGTCGCATAAGCCACCTGAGAGTGTTGCCTCTGATTTTGGCAGTGAAGATTGGACACCGCTGAGCAATGGTGTAAAATAAGTGAAGATTCATCGAATACGCAAAATAAAACCTTACGAGGTGGAGGCGTGCCTTTTGGATCCAACGCGACGAACGGCGGCATGGGTCTAACATTGACAAGGAGAGGCTTGCATCCGATATTATAGGCCTCGACCCTCCATTCCTGAAGTGAGAATAACCCAGAACCAGATGGAAGTGAGTAATTATAGCAGTAATGTCCAGATAATAGCGACTGACCTCCAGGGACTTATGACGATATTCAGGTATGTGACTGAGGCAGTAGTAAGTCCAAGAGGCCTCGCATGGATCTTCATTGCCATGATCCCTGAATGGTCTATATTGTGGGAGTTGGGGCGTGTCGGCTCGAGGTATACTCTCAGTCGACCCAGTCGACATTCGGCTCGGAGGCTTGTCCCCTGCAGGGCCGGCAGTAGACACGGCAGTCGGCGACTGCGCGACAGGGAGAGCAATATTTTCCGCGAGAGGAGGAAGCGCATCGTCGTCTACCGTAAAGCCCTTCAGATCTTCCCAAAGGGAGTACACTAACCGCAGAGTAGCGTATCTCTGCAGTTGTTGGTCCGATAGGTCTTCTTGAGCATCATATGCCTGGATTGCAGAATATATCACGAAGTAAGGATGGCAGGCGTGCTGCAACGCCGGGAAATTGTCGTATGGTGGGTGATGTGCAACTGACGGCGATAGCGGTCCATCGTCCTTTTCTCGATGGATGACGGTGTGCTCAAGCGCAAACGGAACGAACGTGTACGTATACGATTTTCGTATCGGAAAGACCTAGGAACGGAACCAATTCAACCTCACTGGAAGAATGCAGAGCAAACAGCGATGATGCTCACGGAAGACCAAGATGCGTTGGCCTGCTTGCGTTTTAACTGATGTAGCCTTTTTATGATGCACGTAAGCGTGGCCGCGTCTGGTTCAAAAGCCCACGCGTGTGCGAAGTGTCATGCATCAGACCAGTCTGTACGAACTGCCAACCATCATCCAAGCGAATTGAACGGTGAGAATGTATAGCTCCTGTAACTGTTACCAAGGCAAGACTACAAGAGAAAAGCGGACTCACGAAACACTGCGTTCGACGAGCTATCCCAACATGTATCGTCTTCGACGTGCCAGAGAAGGTTGAGATGATGAATCTGCGGTTGAAAAAAAGACAGAAAGGCAGTGGAATTGAATGTTCTGGGCCTGAAGAAAGAACTCAAGTTGCATGTGCTCACTATGGATGGAGCGGTAGCAGACTGTGGAGAAACGACGTGATACTTTCGGACAGCCCTTGGCGGATAGACGGTGTTTGTGATTATACATGGCTCCACCTTTTCAGTTTCTTCTATCGTGGAGACGTCAGAGTATGATTCAGCCATGGTGGTAGTACTTGGTAAGTAGCAGTAGAAGGTGGAAACTGGAACGGCGAATTAGGGCGAATTTGACATGAATTAGCCGATCGTAAAATCTAATCTTATCGGAATACTGTACGTGTGGCGTGAGGAAGATCTGTCGATCGAGTTCAAAGACGAGATGCGTCCAGCACTCGACCACCACCACCACTCATGGTGGACTTCACTTTCCAATCGCTGATATGACAGGCCGCATATACGACTACAAATCAGGTTGATAAGTAGAACATGGCGCTCGTATTAAGCCTGTAAATAGGTCATCGACACCCATCGGAAACTCTTCAGCGCTCGACTTTACTGACAGTGCTTGACACTTGTGTTGAGACGCAAATTCGACAAGTCACACTGCAAGAGTCAGATTTAGATGCTCAGTTATCAGCTCTTTTATGTCGGAGTAACGAAGGACAGGTATGGCTATTGAGCATGCAGCTGCGGGTTTGTTGAAGTGCCCAATGGATTCAGGGGTATGAATGAAGGGAAAGGTTGGGCAGCCCTCGTAGGCCAAGGTTTGTAACTGCCACGATAGGCGTCGACCCTCCACTCCTGCAGGAAGTTAGATCAGTATTCTATTGGAGCGTCAACTGGATCCATAATCTAACCTCTAGTGACTTGTGACTGTATCTAGGCGTTACAGTGAGACATTGATATTCCAAAGCGATGCCAGCGTTTGCCCATTCCTTCTCGGTGAAAGCTTCGAATATCGGAAGATTTTGACTGGGTCCTGCTCACCTATTTCAATGGATATTATAAAACCGAGTACAATGTATTGCTTACCAAAATGAGCAGGTATGTCACGGTTAAACCCTCGTCCGGTAGTTTGAGAGGCCGTCGTAGATGGTGTCGTGGGGAAAAGAGGAGAGGCGGAAGTCGAACTATTGGTATGAGAGTTGCGGGTAGATGGAATCGCTGTCGGATCTCGAGGTACGCCAGTTCCAGCATGAGAAGGACTATGTATCACATTCGACGGGCTCGACGAGCTGGCGGTGGGTGTCCCACTCGTTGTAGAGCCAGTCCACTTCTTCGACTTCTTCGACTTCGTAGCCGGGGAAGCACTCGGGGTCTGAGGTGCTGGTAAAGCGGCAATTCCACTGGCAGGCCTGATTGATGGAGGAGGTACAATGAAACCTGCGAGTTTCGGGGAAGACCAAGAGGTCGTGGAGGAAAGCCCAACACCGGTCGCATTGGGTGAAGTTGCCTCGGCCCCCAATTTAGTCGATGCTGTACTGTGAGGAAGCACTTCTCGAGAGCCGTCAGTAGATTCCGCAGCTGAGGGCGATGATGACTTGAGTTGATCTGCAGGAAGAGAAAAAAGCGCGTTCTCGTCCAACGGGAAACCTTTCAGATCTTCCCAAAGAGAGGCAATCAAACGCAGCCTCGCGTATACATCCCAGTGTTGATCTGTGAGGTCTTTGGATAGGTGAGCTTCGTACGCCTGTATAGCGGAGACTATTACGAAGTAGGGGTGACAGCTGTGCCGCAAGGGAGGAAAGTTGTTATAAGGCGGTGAATAGGAAGTGAAAGAGCGAGAGTCCGGATTTTCGCGATGAATCGTGGTTCGGTCCAGTGCCAAAGGTACGAAGTCGTATCTGTAAGACTCTCGCTTGGGATACACCTGTGAATACAACATTAACTTATAGATGCCGAGGACCCCACGTTAGCGGCAACCGATACGCACCGTAGACCAAGACGCGTTGGCTTTTAGACACTTCAGCTGTTGCAGTCGCTGGGTAATGGAGCGGATCATTTCTGTATCTGGCACAAAAGTCCACGCGCGAGCCCACAGCGCACGATACCAGTCTGCGCGAACTACCAAAACAAGTCAGCGATATCTGTATTAGCGGGGAATTGAAGCGCTGTACACCTCGGTCATCGTTGAAAGGAAGCACTTACTATACATAGTATTTGACTCGCTCATCCAGCAAGAAAAATCATCACAATGCCAGAGGGCACTGAGGTAGTTGATCTCACATGATTCGCGAGTCAACTAAGAGTCTTCGGTGGAGATGCAATCTGCTCACTTTGGCTGGAGCGTCCGCGGTATCTGTGGGGACGACCTGATACATGCATACGGAATCAGGCGGATGAATTGAGTTTGTGACCAGACACGGCTGCTCAGGTTCATCTATCTCTGAAGAAGTGGTAGACTCGGCCATGGTAGTTACTAAATGGTAGGTAGTGGTGAAAGACGAACAACTGATCCAAATGGCCGGAATCTAATAGGATCTAATCTTATCTGGGGCTGTGTGGCGTTCACGCCATCGTTTGCAATTGTGGCGAGTGGCGCAAACTGCACGCTATTGCACGCCTGCGAGGGGCAAGCGAGGGTCTCCGACATGACTCAAAGATGTGCCTCCAACCTTCTTGCAGCGAACCACCACCATCCAAGGGTTTCATTGTGTTATTGTTCGATCTTTCTGTACGCCAGCTATTCTGAATGTGCCGTCTCGTCATCTACAAGGGCTGCCCTGTTCAGCTTTCCCATGTGCGTTGTCATCCGCTTCCCCACCTCCGGCTCGGGCTGACCTCACATCGCTTCTGTAGCTCTTGACACGACCTTGTCACTCCATCATCAACCAGGCTTTTGACTCCAGACTTCGCGTCGATCTTCGAAGGCCTATCAATGGAGACGGCTTTGGTGTGGGTGCGTTTTATTTACTAAGCGCTCTGCTCACACGACCATTGCTGACTTGATTGCCTAGGTTGGTATGATACCGTTTACGAGGAAGAACTTGGTAGCCAACCGTGTATCTTCACCTCCGTAACTCCTGTGAGCACTCCCATTTTTTGTATGACGAGCAAGTTACTGACTGTGAACGCGTAGGCGTGGAATAATGCCAACTTGACACGTCTTGCAGAGAAGATCAAGTCCCCTTTGGTCTTGTGAGTAGTTGCTTTTGCTGACGATAAGAGTGCTGGTACTCAGACTTTTGCAGCGCACACGTTCGAGCTACAACCGCGGGGTCATTATCTCTGGACAACTGCCATCCCTTTGTGCATGGCAAGCTCATGGTGCGTCAAATGCCTCATCATCGCTTACGTGTTTCACTTACTCTACCTCACATAGTGGATGCATAATGGCAGCATCGAGGGCTTCCCCAAGATTAAAAGGCGACTCCAGCAGTTCCTTTCGGATGAGGTCTTCAACGTCGTAAAAGGCAACACCGATTCAGAGTGGTCTTTCGCGCTCTTCCTTTCCAAGGTGCGCACTCTTCTCGACCTCGGAGCTCCTTGTCTTTGACATCTCTCTAGTTGCCCGATCCAAATGCCGAGTCTTTCACGCACCAGACTCTCCGAAAAGCAATGCTTGAGACGATCGCTACTCTGAACCGTCTAGGGGAGGAGGCTGGCATTACTCAGGTGTGTGTGGTTCATTCTGCACGGTCGAGCGTTGCTTACCTCTCTTTGTATCGTTCAGCCTAGTCTCATGAACTTCTGCATCACGGACGGTGAAAGTGTTGTCGCTACTCGCTATGTCTCATCACGGGAGGATGAAGCTGCTTCTCTGGTACGTTGGTTGCTTCGTTGTAGAGGGCGAGGTGTTGATTTCATACCCGGCTTCTAGTGGTTCTCTTCCGGTACTGCCTTCAGCGAGTACGCAGAAGGTGGTCATTATAAAATGTCGAAAGCTGACAAGCGGGAGAACATCATCATGATTGCCAGCGAACCGCTAACGTTTGAGAAAGGTGTGCTTGTTCGACCTACGCTTCGGCTATTTTATACTCATTTTCTGTATCCTCTAGCTGATTGGATGGAAATCAAGACCAACTACATGATCGTGATTACTCCTAAAATGAACGTCCTCCAATTTCCCATCATAGACAAGTACTACGTTCCGCCATCCAACCCGGCATTCCTTGCAAGAGGGACAGACCTCGCTGCTGCTAAAGGTCTTCTCGTTCCTACTAGTCGAACTGCGAACATCGACGGGGCCTCGGACACTTCAGATTCTTCCAGTTGATCATGTTACTGGGCTGCCCCTTCTCTGTTATTTCCGTGGATTTCGCTCTTGTTGTCTGTACATCATGTTTAAGTTATCAGCGTGTCTTGTCAGCTATACCATAGTACTTTGTGTATTTAATCTACTTGCGGTTGCCATGCTATGGACGCAGAACACTACTATCATAATTCGCTCCATGTATCTCGAATCGCTCATTTCTAAGTATATCGTGGCCACTTTGACAGACGGACGCCACAGTGGCGCACTCCAGAGACACAGGTCCGGCGGTAATGGCAATGCCCTTGTTTTCCGCTCGATGTCCGATTCGTCTGGGGCCCCTCAATGACTGCATAAGCCTTGAGGCGACGGTGTCAAGGCACTGTGCAACAACTCTTGGCTAACTCTCCTTACTTCTTTCTTCCTTCATCTTTGGGCGCATTGGGCTTGTTCGTCACGGACTCGTTCACAACTCACGGTCCTCCATGCCTGGGCCGTGGTTCTTATGGCGCTTCGTCACAAGCGGTGCAAAGTACGCCCTTTCACACCGATTTCTTTAGTAAAAAGACATTCTAAAAAAACGAACGTGTTTCTGTCAGACTCTCTAACTTCCTCCAAGTGCTCATCTTCCTCCCGCTCACGCTCTCCACACTCTCCAAATCCGCATTCCTCCTGCTGTCACTCCTGATTTTCCTCCAATCCCTCATCCATGGCACCCTTCAATTCTTCTGGGGGTCATCTGTCCTTGCCGTCATGCAATTCCCCGTCCAACCATTCCTCCTCCTTGTCTGCTTCAACGTATTTTCAGAATCCGTGAGCCCATGGCTCCTCACGGCCGCGACGTACTGGGGTCGGCTCCTATATCTGTCCAGTCCACTATTCATCATTCTTGAAGGGATGTCGAGTTTGCTCGTGGTGCAAAAGATGGGTCAGGTTGGTAGAGACTTGGTGGGCGAAGGAGAGGCATACCAGTTTGGGCTGCTCATTGCGTCTGCAATGACCTATGTGGTGAGTTGGGCCAGTCTTTTGGGACCGAAAAGTGTCTGACCAGCGTAATTATCCAGGCTGCTGCATGGTGGATTGTCGTGGTGAGCTACTACTCGATGCTTGGAATTTTGAGCGATACTCAGTGGCAACCTTTGCAGGCATATCCAGCGGCTGCCATGTCACCACTATCCTCCACTCTGCTCGGTGTGGCCCTGACCGCTTTCCTCTTCCTCACATTCATCGGATTCGCCCTCCGGCGCACCAATGTCATTGAATCGTCCGGACTTGCTCTCTTCATCGCTTACAATGTGTGGCTCTGTGGATTCGACCAGCATTCGTTCTCGGACCCGGCATCATCCTACGCGCCACTCCTGGGAAATATAATGCCACATCTTCAAACCCTGGTCAACTTCATCACCAATACGCTACCGAAGCCTCTGTTGGTCGCGTTGGTGTACAGGCTTTTTGTGTTGTTGTGTGCGGCGAGGATATTGCCTACAATAGGAGCGGATAGCTGGGAGACTGAGTATGGAGTCGATGAAGGTTGGGACGGCCGACCGGTACGTCCATACCCTCTGATGCGGCCGTATTTTTTCGCTCACTCCCTCTTTCATAGACATCGAAACTGGCGCATGTGTTTCTAACATATCGACAGTCCATTCTGGTGACTGTGTATTCTCATCTTCTCCGTGAGTAAATTCCTTTGTGTTGATGATCGCCCATCATGGTCTAATATTATTTCCTCCTTGCAGTCCTCGACCATTCATCCCAGATTTGGTGGCGCTGGATGAATATTTTTTTCACTATAATTGCGTGGAGTGTTGAGCTTCTCGTCAGCCCAGATGACGACGACATCGCGAAGGAGTGGAAGGTCGACTAATTTCGGACGGGGGCCACTCGGGGCGGTAGATGTGCTATTACTATTAGGACCTTACACCGATTCATGGGGCGTTTTCTCGGACAATTCACGTATCTTAGTAACTATACGTGTCAACAATAATCGAATGACACGTAGCAAGTCCACTATTGTCGGCTTGCATACACAATTATATATCTGTGGCATCGCTATAGGGAGTTGCAGGCGCCTGTAGGCGCTCTCGCACGCCACATTATTTAGGTAATCAATTTCCTTTTGAGGGAATCCTCGATTCCTCGAATGCGCGCCACAATTGTAGTTCCTGTAGGACCAACTACTAAAGTAGCGAGAATCTACTTGCATGGCTGAATCTTCGCTCGCAGCAGCTCTACAGGCGCAAGCTCAGCGAGCTGCACAGCAGCCAAAAATATTTATCGATGTCTCTGGCAAAGCAATCCCTATATTCCTCAGCGTAGAGTTTATCAAAGACCGGACGAAGCTCGTCCGTCTGCTCACCGTCCGTCCTTTCCTCCGTGCTGTTCTATCTCTCCCATATATCTTATACTTTTGACCTATAGAGTCGCGGTGCCCGTGTATGCAAACGCACGACAGATGCGCAGATTGTTCTCGTCAATGGAGAGACGAACAACGGCAGGAGGTTTGTCCGAGACAATGCAGCGGACAGGACGGTGCTGGACTACACGTGGATCGACAAGTCTGTGGCGCAGGGCAGAGTTTTAATGGAACAGGACGGCTGGGGAGGCTGCTTGTTGGTGGATGACGGGGAACCTATTCCGGAAGGCGACGATGACATGGATGTATATGATGAAGTGGAAGGAGGCGGAGATGACCCTGATGAGGAGCCGGTGAATGCCTCGGGGTGAGTTTATTACCCTGTCTTTCTTGTGCCTTTGTCGCGAACCGGTCTCACCGTCTCTTTTGTCTGAACATTATTTAAAGGAGCACAAAACCTCCATCGCGTGCTCGTCCATCATCTACTGCAGGACCCTCCAGTCCCACCCGAAGCGGTCCGTTATCCTCGCCCCCACCAGCGCGAGGATCCTCCCATCTGTCCAACAGCCATCTGTCCTCCCCAACACCCACCGCTGACTCTCACATCCCAACACCCACTCAGACTTCCCAGATGCAAAACCAGTTCAATTTCCCGGGACAGTTCCCTCCCAACCAGTTCATGGGTCCTCCAATGAATGGGTTTCCTGCGAACGTCCCACCAGTCCAAGGGATGCCCCAATTTCCTCCCGGACAGTTTCCTCAGATGATGAACGGAATGCTACCTCCCAATTTTGCCCAATTCATACCACATCAACCACCACTGCAACATCCAAGCAGCTCAATCCCAGTCCCAGCAATCTATTCCACATACCCTAGGACGACCGCTACCCTTCACATGTTACTCGAGACCGCTATCGCTGTAGCCCAGCATGATGGATTCGATCCTACACCATTCCATATCGCTTTGCTCAGCATCCCGAGGCTCGAAGCTTATCCAGAGTATCCTACCGTTCCTCAACTGCCTGTTCCCCAGCTCCCTCAAGCCGCTCAAAACAGCACGCCACCATCTTCACCCGTTCCACAGGCCCATGCGCGTCCCCCTGCAACACCAGCCTCACAGCACACTCCCGCTAGGCCACCTATGTCCTCCACGAAGCCGAAGTCCCACACTCTCGAGGACGGTACGCCCGTCATCGTCAAGAAAACTATTCCGAAGCGCCCTCGCCCTTCGGATCCAGGGCCTCAGCAAAATCAAACCCAAGCACGGAGCTCAACGTCGAAAGGGAAACAACCTGCGTCCGGTTCAACTTCGGCATCGGCACCTGTTGGCAAGAAACGCGGACGGCCTTCTAAGGTGAAGACATCGACAGGTGCATCACCCTCCACTTCGCGCGTAGCTCAGACGTCAGAGTCAGCTTCTACTTCCGCGCCTGTCAACGCCCGTGCGCCCGAGAATCTCTTCACAACTGCGAAGGGCCATCAGTTACGCTTCATGATCCAAGTCGAAGTCAAGAAGAGGCCCGAGTATCTTCAGAAGATCAGAGTACGTTGATCTCGTCGCATCTCGCCGTCTCAATGCTTTCTCTATCTGTGCTAAATATCCTTTCCTTTATACAGAATTACGGTGCTAAGATTATCGCGGGTATCGAGAAGGCGCACTACGCCGTCCTGAACCCGAATACGACGCCGTACCGCGACTACTGCGACATAGCTCGGCGAAACAAGGTTCCCGTCGTTCACCCTGCTTTCATTAATGAGTGTATCTCCCAGGGCCGTCTGGTGGATCCTAAGGATTTCCCGTTGGATCCGCCTACGCAGAAGAAACCTGGGCGTCAATCGGGCAACTTCATCTCATTCCAAAGAGGTGGGCGAAGGCGTGCTGACGACGATGGTGAAGAACAAGAGGAACAAGAGGAACAAGAGGAGGAGGATGCCGGTGAGGATGCGGAGATGGACGACGGAGAAGGCATGGAGGTGGATGAGGATGAAGAGGATGAGGAAGAACAAGAAGAAGAGGTGCAGGAGGTCCAGGCCGGGTTGGACAATTCGACGGCTCCTGAACAGAGCATCGCCAATGCGCCCCAGGCGGACGAGGGCGAGAACCCTGCCAAGAAGCCGCAACTGTCTCCGGCAGCACAGAAGGATCTGAACGAAGACTTCGAGATTATTGTCGAGTTCTTGTTGTCGGACCAGTCTGACGGGGCCACAGATGCGCAAGTCTTCGCTATGTTGGAAGAAAAGGTGAGTCTTACCACGTGATGCTCAATTTCGTCGGTCGATTGACAATGTTATTTCAGGCCACTTGCAAAACACAACCTTCCTGGCTTGTATTTTTGGAGGAATACGGTTCCGAAGTCGAACAGGCAGTGACCCGCAGGGCGGAGGAACAGAATGCGAACGCCCAGATCAAGACGTCCCCACCGTTGTGAATCTCGCAGACTTTCTGAGGCCATTGAAACCACCTAATTTTCTTGACCCACCGTGATGGACTTTTCCGAATGGGATGGTTCCTATGTGTTCTGTACTTCTTGTCTGTACTTTGTTCTTGAACAACGGTCGAGCGGCCCTTTGCCTCCGCACTGTATGAAAGAGGGAAATAAGATCTGTAACAAACTGCTGAGATTGGTTATGTCTAAGGCTAAGCGGACGTAACGGCGGCGGTCGGAGCTGCAGGACCTGCAGCTTGTGGTGGCTCGTGCTTGAAGAACCGCCTCCGTCTCTCCTCGAACGACAACGACGATGTATCTCCCTGCAGCGACTCCCCGGTGTACTCGAATGTCCCCACAAGGGCTGCAAGGACAGCGCAGGAGCCGACGGCCATTGGCAGAGAACGTGCTGGATAAGATATGGCAGAGGGCGATGAATGGGCCGTCAGCGAATTCGACTCTGGGGTGTGGGGGTAACGTGAACATACATCGTATGCCGGCCAAAAATCCAGCAGCACAACCACCCGCAACACCGTTCAGAGAGTCATCTACCTGCCTCGTATTCGCCACTACGCTCCGTGTCCCTGCGAAAGTCGCACCCATCGCGGCTGAGGAACGCGTTCATGCACACATCAGACCGACGCATTTGTCCAAAGATTCTTCCTTTAGCAAGGGACTTAATCGTGATGCATAAGACCTGAGGCACGCACCAAAAAAGCCAATGGTCCCTCCGCTCCTCGTGAAAAAGCCTGCTGCTCCTTGGTTGTGCGCTCCGAGTGCGTTCTGGATGGTACTGACGAAGGCGCCGACCATGGTGGCTTGAAGAGCGGCAGCGGCGGTGTAGCGGACAGTGGGTTTTTCTTCATATGTGGGGGCGCTGCCCCCTGAGGTAGGTTCGGGCGCCATAACTGACGGCGCGAAGGTCGATATAGACGATGACGGTGGAGGGACTTGCAACTTGGCTGAACGCACTGGCAGGGCAAGTCGGACTCGGAGGTTGCTCCCGGGTTATGGACTGCCTATTTGGGATGGGTGGCGAAGTGGCGCGTACTCTCGTGCAAAGCGTGCAGGATGAACTACCAATCGCAAAGAGTCATTTTGTCTGCCTCATGTTTGAACGAATACTTACTCTCGAAACAGCTTGTAGTTTCGACCGCACGATTGAGGTTGATGATGTGTCTCACGAGTCACACAATAAACGATCTCCCAGACTCTAAGCACTCTGATTCTAAACAGCACGACAAAGAATGACGAAAAAATGCGGATCAACGCACGAGGCAAAAGTCGGGCGTAGAAATAAGAAAAGAAGAGTACAAAACAACGTCCATCTCGCAAGCAAGAGTGTGTAGGAACCAGCGTCCATCATCAATGCACTAACTGAAACGTCCGTAATAACTCGATCATCGATAAAATGCCGATAAGTCAAGCTGCCTCCTCTCTCCGAGACGTCAGAACACCTAAGAATGTGAGTAAGACAAGTTAGATCGAGAAAGATCAACTAGGAGGATCGCATTGATAACTTACCGTTCAGAAGAGCTCAATGGTGCCGTCAGGCGACTTCGTCGCAGACTGAGCTGGAATAGTGTTGACGCTCATCGGCTCCCGTTTACCGAAGAGTTCGATGGTGCCGTCGGGCGACTTTGTTGCAGACTGAGCGGGGATGGTGTTAACGCTCATTGGGTCGCGTTTGCTGAACAGTTCGATGGTCCCGTCTGGTGACTTTGTCGCAGACTGAGCTGGAATAGTGTTAACGCTCATCGGCTCTCGTTTGCCGAAGAGCTCGATGGTGCCGTCGGGCGACTTTGTCGCAGACTGTGCGGGGATGGTGTTAACGCTCATAGGGTCGCGTTTGCTGAACAGTTCGATGGTCCCGTCTGGTGACTTTGTCGCGGACTGAGCAGGGATAGTGTTAACGCTCATTGGGTCGCGCTTGCCGAACAGTTCGATGGTCCCGTCTGGTGATTTGGTTGCAGACTGAGCGGGAATAGTGTTGACACTCATAGGGTCGCGCTTGCCGAATAGTTCGATGGTACCATCTGGCGACTTCGTCGCAGATTGAGCTGGGATAGTGTTAACGCTCATCGGTTCCCGTTTACCGAAGAGTTCGATGGTGCCATCGGGCGACTTTGTCGCAGATTGCGCGGGGATGGTGTTAACGTCGCGCTTGACATACGCAGGGATGATATCAAGGGGAGCGAAGTCCGGCTCGCGTTTGGCACCGCCAGCATGCTACACAGAAATAAATTGGTCAGTGACTTTGATGGAAGTGTGGGAATGTGATGGACATACGCCGACGCGGCCTTTGCTTGCGGGCATGGGCATCGGTGCGGCAGCAACCTGGCCGACAAAAACGACCGCCAGCGCGGAGAAGAGGGAGAGGCGAGAAAAGAACATGGTATTGTCGATGCAAAGGGTATCAGGTCGTGAGAGCGAGTGCTATGTGTGTGCTGAAGGAAAGGAGGTTCCAAGGTCGTCCTGCGGCCTGTGCAAAATGAACGTTGAAAGAAGCTGCGGGGAACAAAACATATGACATGTCAGTACTAGGCGACATAATGAAATGTGATGAGCATATGCCAAGGAAGGATACGGACAAAGAGAAAGGGATCCAAAGGGTTGTGGGGAAGAAGGAAGGAGGAACCTGACGAGCTCGAGCTGAGGCTCAATATATACTCCCAGAGCTGTTCCGGCAGATCGTCACCATTGTTACCAACGCGACCGACTCCCCGGGTCCCCCGCGCCTATATTTGGACCTATCAGAAATTTCGCCGTCGCCGACGCTCATTGGCTCACGCTCCTCACCCCTCTCATTCGCCACAACCTCCATCCTATTCACCCTCCAACCATGTCCGACCCTCGATTCGCGAGGCTCCACTCAGACCCAAGATTTCGTCGTCCAAAGAAACAACAATTCAAGGTCGCTGTAGACGATCGCTTCAAGAGCGTCTTCGAGGACGACAAGAAGGGAAAGAAAAAGGGCAAGAGCAGTGCGTGTGCCAACCATCCCTTTGATTGGGTACCTGCCTTGCTGATGAGTATATACCCGTTGGACCTTGGCAGATGCGCGCGTTGACAAGTATGGCCGTACACTCTCCGACTCGCACGACAAGGACAATCTTCGCCGCTTCTACCGCCTTGAGAAGGAAGAAGAAGAAGAAGTCCATGCTGGTCCTGACTATGCTCGTGGAGAGGGCCTAGTCGAATCCTCTGACGAGGAAGACGACGAACAGCAAGGAGACGACGACGACTCTGATGCGGGTGGTCCTGTCACTCTTGGCCGTGATCCATCTAAGCCAATAAGAGTAGACGATGCTGACCTAGAGATTGATCTTGACGAGGATAACTTTGCGGATCTCGATGCTCAGGCTGAAGCTTACTCGAAGTCTGCCCCTCAGGACGAAGATAATCAGGACGAAACAGAACGCACAACGCGAATCGCTGTCGTTAATCTCGACTGGGACCACATTCGGGCCGTACACTTGTACAGAATCTTCAACTCGATAGTCTCACCTGCTCCTGCCCACGCATCCTCCTCGAAGGCTACCTCGAGCTCTATCCGCGGGAAGGTCCTGAATGTTCGTGTTTATCCCAGTCAATTCGGCAAGGAGAGGATGGAGAAAGAGGAGAGGGAAGGGCCCCCGGTGGAGTTGTTCAAGAAACGGGTCGACGAGGACGAAGAAGTGAATGAGACCAATATCTACGAGACTGGCGATGCAGACGAATACGATGCGGATGCATTGCGTAAATATCAGTTGGAGCGGCTGAGGTATGCTCTCCTGTTCCTATTACAATCCGTTCTATCTGACCATGTACTTCAGGTATTACTATGCTATTGTCGAATGCGATTCAGTGCAGACCGCTTCGCATGTCTACAACGAGCTGCAGGGCACAGAGCTCGAACGGTCTGCGAACGTCTTCGATCTCAGCTTCGTTCCGGCCGACATGACTTTCGAGGACGACTTCCGGTACGTTTGTCTCTTCTGGACTACGACTAATTCTTAATCTGGCCTTACTACAGAGACGAGGCCACTGCTGCCGACCTCACTGCTGATGCCAGTTACAAAGGTCTCGACTTTGTGACGGACGTGAGTACAATAGTGCTATCATCTTCTATTCCCGTATCTTAATGCGCGTTTCCGTTCAGGCTCTTCGTCATTCAAAAGTCAAGTTAACCTGGGATCAAGACGACCCCGAGCGTAACCGCGTCACACGACGAGCTCTATCCCGCAAAGAAATCGAAGAGAACGACTTCCGAGCCTATATCGCCTCTTCCTCCGATTCCGAACCGGAAACCTCTGTGGCCGCTGTGGGCAATAATAAGACCATGGAGCGGGATAAATTGCGCGCGCTTTTACTTGGAGGAGGCGGGAATGATATGCCGGAGGGATGGGGTGGTGGGGATAGGGATGGAGGGGATGGCAAAGACGGCGAGGTGGATATGGAGGTGACGTTCATGCCGGCATTGAGTGGGACGAAGGAGGGAGATGAGACGACGCTGGACAAGTATCAGAGGAAGATCAGGGAGAAGCGGAAGAAGAGAAAGGCCGAACAGAAGGGTAAGGGTGATAGTGAGGAGGAGGCCGAGTCCGCGAAGAACAAAGTCGCGGCGGATGACTTCTTTGGCGATAGTGGGGAGGAAGACGCTGCCGTTGAGACTTCAGACAAGCACAAGAAGGACAAGGGGAAGGACAAGAAGAAGAAGGGGAAGAAGCTCGCCGAAGAGGAGGAGGAGGAACGTGGGCCGTCGACGAAGGAGGAACTTGCGCTACTTGTTGGTGCGGACGTTCTGAACTCGGAGCCTCAACATTTCGACATGAAGGCCGTACTCAAGGCTGAGAAGAAGAAGGGAAAGAAGGCCAGGAAGGGGAAGAAAGGGAAGGGTGATGACGAGGGTGATAACGAGTTGCAGGAGGACTTCCAGCTGGACGTCACGGATGATCGATTCAAAGCGTTGTATGAGGATCATCAATTCGCCATTGATCCAAGCCATCCTCAGTACGTCCTCGCGTCCCCTATTTCCGTAAATTTACTGATGAACCTTCCTCCACAGCTTCAAAAAGACGAAGTCTATGTCTGCCCTGCTGCAAGAGCGGACTAAACGAAACAAAAATCGGTCGGGTGACCGTGATGACATTGGGTCGAAAACGGCAGGGGAGTCTGGCGAGGGCCAGAGTCTCCAGAGTCTTGTCGAGAGCGTCAAGCGGAAAAGTGCGGTTGCAGAAGGTCGCACTGGGAAGAGGCAGAAGTTGTGATCCTTGTACCACTCTCCTTTTGATGCTAAGTCGTTGCGACCCATCGTGAAGATAGCATTCTCGCTCCACGAAGTTTCAGGTCTATCTTTCGGCAAAGATATACAAGACAGCATGCGATAGCAATTCGAGCATATACACCACATTCAAGCACAATACATTGGGTGATACTTCTTGGCCACTTCACTTCGATCAGGCTAGAGATACATGAAAAACGAGAACGTCCACTTATGAGATCTTCGCGTTGGAGAAGTCCAGCTCGGGGTGGGCGGCCTGGAACTTCTTCAAAGCCTATAGTAAAGATGCGCGAACACTATGAGCGCGTTCTGATAAATAGCTTAGCGTGAGCCTACCTCTTGTTTCTTGAGTTCGTCAGAGGTGGGTTTGCCCATTTGCTGCAAATGAACATCTATAAGAACGCGAAAAGAGCTTCTCAGTAAGAGCGAGACGCACCTTCTGCTGATTATCGAACTGAAGGAGGAAGAAGGGTCAGAATGAGATAGTCATGGATCAACTTGGTTCATACCATCATCTTTTCAACCATCCCCCTGCAGAGGTGTCAGTACAGTACAAGTGCAAGGCGAAGTCCATTGCGATGGCTTACCTGGTCTCGCCATCCAGATCGCTGAGCTTGCTGTTCTCGGGCTCGATCTTTCGGGTGTCGATCTTGGGGTGGTGTGTAAGGACATTCTCCCACCACTGCTGCTTGTTAACCTTCTCGAGATGGATCTCAACGGATTGCTGGTCCTCTAATGAAGAGAGCGTCATGATACGGTCCTCCATGGAGAGGTAGACTACCTACCCAACGTCCAGGTACTGTCATCCATCTTGACTTCCTTGCACAATTCGCCGGACATAATGGGCTCTTTGCCCTTCAGACCTACGCTCAGCTTCTTTTTTGCAATAACAACAACGAGGTCGCGCGATCGTGTCCCTTTAGGAACTGGTACGACAATATCGACCTCGCCAAGCTCCTGCTTCCACGAGTAAGGAAGCGCTGGAGGCAAAGGGGATTGTGGATTTAGGGACCAAGAGACGTACAAGGCATCAAATCAGAGCTGACCTGCCTGCTCGCCCGCCTCGCGCTCACGATCAGCCTTGTCCTTCGCTGCTCGCTCCTCTGGCGTGAGTTTGTCGTACTCGTCTTCGGTCATGATGCAAGTGAAGATGGGTGGCGATGGAGAAGGAACCGGAATGAGATTATCGTGGCCCGAAGGAGCGTTAAGAAGCGTGCGAAAGTGCACGTGAGACGTGTGTCTTACTGGTGATGGGTGCGAACCCGCACTCGCCGTCGTTCGCTTTCTTTTCTTCCTCTCATTCCGAGTCTTCGCCTTTCTCTTGCCTGTTCAGCCGTCCTTTTGAGCGACCACAGGGTACCGGAAAAATGGCCACCGTTGATACCTGGGATGATTTTGAGGTGCGTCCGTTCAGTGGCAGGTTTTACGTCCTCTATTCACGCCAAAAACCGGTTTTGCAAAATAGACGCTCAAGCAGGGCATTCGCCACAATACCGTCGATAGACTGAAGCACATCGTCGCAGGCTTCAACGAAGAGAACTTCACGATGCTGAGCAAGACAGGAAAAAAGCAGGATCTCATCGAGCGCATAACTGGATGCATGGATCTCTGGAAGGCGAACAGGGACGTCGACAAATGGACGAAGGCGCGCGGCGTGCTCTATCAAGTCCGGAATGCCGGCCAGTGAGTCCGGCTCCTTCTTGCTCTCAACCGCGACCGCGCTCGCTCCCTGTGGCGAGCACGCTCGTCTCGCGCACGATTTCCCCTTTACCCCACGCCCTACATTGCTTTCTTTTTAAATCACTATGAAGCCACATACTAATCACGCGTTACCGCGGCGTGTACCTCCCCCGGCGTCTAGATACAAGCACGGCGGTTACACTCCATATATGCCCAACACCAAACCTTTTGCATCCAACGCAGCCGCCGCCGCAGGGCCTAGCACGGTGACACCATGGCAAACCTACAACGGTAACACGACCATTCGCAAGACAGTACCAGCCATACCTGGGGCCATGGGTGCAGCTTCTTCACAAAAACTCCGTACGCATGTTTGATCGCCTGGCGATAAAAGCAGATTGTACTCACGCGCGCTCGCGCAGCTCCCCGTTTTAGGCCTTCTCCGTTCTTCAATGTCGAACAAATGGTTTCAAATTTTGCTGAGTGTCCCGGTAAGCAACCTCTTTCGCGCCACATAATTTCTTTTTGTTCATGCTATTTGGTCTTCAGAGTCAACCAGCGGCGTTGATCGCCGCCAGCAGTCAGTATCATTCACGTTGACCAACGAGCAGGTCGAAAAGCTCAAATCAACATCGTATGCTTCGTATGCCCTATATCGCTTTGAATCTCGACTAACACGTGACACAATGGTTCAGCTCGCCGCATCAACTTCGCCTCTACTGCACATCTTCTTCATATTACGCACCCGCATCCTTCCGCGCGACCTCTGGGCCATGTCCTATCGAGTTCCCACCTACATGCGAAGTACGAGTGAATGGTACTCAGATCACCGCTAATATGAAGGGCCTGAAGAAGAAGCCAGGGACAGCCCCTCCCGCTGACTTGACCAAGTTCACAAGAATGCAGGCTGGCGTCCCATCGAAGGTGGAGATGGTCTACGTAAATAGCCAGCAGAACAATAACCAGCAACCGGCACCTCCGAAGGTACGACGATCATCGCTATGGTGACTCCATTCATCCCAATGACCGTTTACCGTGTATACAGAAGTACTACATCGCCGTCATGCTCGTCAAAGTAACCAGCGTTGACCAGCTGATTACGACATTGAAGGCGACGAAGCGAAAGACCAGTGAGGAGATCCTTGCCAAGAGTAAGTCGTGTATACGTTTTCTCATCACCATCCATACTTTGACTAAACTATAATGACCTTTAGTGAGGGCCTCAGTCTCTGATGATGACGATATCGTCGCCGGTCCTGTAAAGATGTCAGTCAAGTGCCCAGTAAGTCGCCATCTACTTCTAACCTCATTGTATATTTCTTACACGTTAATTCGCTGTCTAGCTGAGCTACATGCGCATAAGCACGCCGTGTCGAGCGATCCAATGCGTACATCCACAGTGCTTCGATGCGCTATCGTGGTATTCGGTCAATGAACAAACGACGACATGGTCGTGTCCTATATGCGAAAAACCAGTCAATCACGAGGACCTCATAGTCGATGGGTATGTTACTTGTCACTACTCTGAATTGAACGTCACTGATTTCCTTCTTCCGACAGCTACTTTGATCATATCCTGAAGGCCACACCGGAGGAAGTCGAGGACGTTATGGTGGAAGCTGATGGCGAGTGGCATACATCGGACAATATGTACGCCTCCCCCGCATGGAAGGCAACCCATAAACCTCCACCGCCAGCCCTCAGCTTACCTCCGACACCGGAGAAGAAACCTCATCTCAACGGCAATGGAAAGTCGAATGACAAGGAGCCGGAACAGGAGGTCTTCGTCCTGGATGACTCTGATGACGAAGAGGAGGGACAGGTCAAGCGCGAACTTTCGTTTTCTGTTCGACAAGACTCATCTGCCCTCTCCAACGACTCGGGTCCTCCCGACTCACAAGTCATCGACTTGACGCTGGATTCGGACGAAGATGAGCCCGCGCCGCCGCCGTCGCTCGCGAGCTCGAACGGGAAACGAAAGGCACTGGACGACCTGCCGTCTCCGACGGAGCAGATCTGGAAGAAGTCTCGTGTGCAGGATGCATCACACACGGTGATGAGGAGCGTGGGCAACTCTGGTAACGTCAACGGTTCTCTCAATGCCTCCACCAGTGGTAGTAATATTGGCGGAAGCTCCTCGTATATGAACGACGTGGGCGGTTATTCCCAGCAGCCGCAACACCCTCCACTACCCTCGTTCCAATACGACTACAACACCGGACCCGAGAGCCGTCTTCCTCAAGCCTCGTACACGAGTAGTCTTGCGTTCGCGAGGGATTACCCGCCTCACTACACGCCATCGTCTTTGGCCACGAACGCGTCGAGCCTTGCTTCGACTTTGTACAAGGATCGCTATCATTCCCATCGGTGATTTCCTTCGCTCTTCGTATCTTGGACGTTTTGCACACTTCATGTTTTTGTCCTGTTTCTTCGCATCGCATATGGGGTTTTCGCCTACCTAGGAGCGTTCCACGCACATAATGTCCCGGTTCTCTTGTACGCCTATGTACATATACAGCATCGACCACTCGTCGCGGTTTCTATTGTTTTACAACGCATGCACCATACATGTCCTCCGTACTCTCCACTAATATGAACAACATGAGCCCAGCGCTAGGTTCGTCAGACGCCTTATCGCTACGTATGTGGCGCATCTTCGGTCTGGATGAGATGGTGAGTGCACTCAGTCCACAACTGCCCCAACAAGTCATGGGATTACCGAGGTCGAGCGGCTCGCCGGGCTCAGGAGGAGAGCGTCCTCGATAAGTTCATGATTGCGGTGCTGGAACTCGCTCGAACTTTGAGAAAATGCAAACGGAGAGCGCGAGGAGCTGGCAACAGTGCCTTGCGCTTTCCGATTGGACCCGGCACAAAGATATCCACGAATCAGGGCGTGGGTGATGTGCCACGGCGTAGGGCACTTCGCAGCTTCGATAGCTCTAGGGCTGCTTGATATATATGCACTCGAAGGGCAAGTCTACGGGCTTGCGGGTTGCTGCTATGGGCAGAGGGGCTGGAGACTGAGCAGATACGCTTGCAACGCCGTCGAAGGGAGGCGGCCCGCTGCCATACGTGGGAAAGGGCGGGGGAACCAATGGGATTGTGGTGCGTGGTCGGAGTTAGGGAAAAGTCGGGATTCGCCGTGGTCTTTATGGACGCGCGCGCCGTTTTTTTCAGACCAGTTCGTTTCCTTCCCTTCCACCACCACCACTCAGTCCCTCTCCCAAAAAATGGCCACAGCCAAGAAGGGGAAGACCCCCGCAGAGTTCGGCAGTATGTGTTCTTTCATCGCTCTCCCCGTCGTTGCTCTCGTCGGCGTCGTTCTCGTTGCTGATTCGCGTCTCGTTTCCAGTTGATTTCTTGATGGGTGGTGTCTCCGCTGTACGTTTCGCCGCGCCGCCCTCGCGTATTTGTCTGTTCTCAATCCATTTTGTGCTCCCTATAGGCTGTTGCGAAGACATCCGCTGCCCCCATCGAGCGTATCAAGCTGTTGGTTCAAAACCAGGATGAGATGGTGCGACCCGTGCGCAGTGTGTAGCCGAGTGTAGCTTAGCCCTTTCCTCTCTAGATCAAGCAAGGTCGTCTCGCCACACCATACAAGGGTGTTGTGGACTGCTTCCGTCGTACCTACGCCGACGAGGGTCTTCTCTCTCTCTGGCGTGGTAACACCGCCAACGTCATTCGTTACTTCCCCACCCAGGCCCTCAACTTCGCTTTCAGTCAGTCGTGCCCTACTTTTACCCGGGACATCCATACTAATGCACAAATTCAGAGGACTACTTCAAGTCCTTGTTCGGTTTCAAGAAGGAGGCTGGCTACTGGAAGTGGTTCGCTGGTAACGTCGCGTCTGGTGGTGCTGCCGGTGCTACGTCCCTTCTCTTCGTCTACTCGCTCGATTACGCCCGTACCCGTCTCGCCAACGATGCCAAGTCAACAAAGGGTGGAGGAGCCCGTCAATTCAACGGTCTCGTAGACGTCTACAAGAAGACCCTCGCTACCGATGGTATTGCTGGTCTTTACCGTGGTTTCGTTCCTTCAGTCATGGGTATCATCGTCTACCGTGGTCTCTACTTCGGTGTCTACGACTCCCTCAGTACGTTCTCTTTCCTGCCAATTCAATCGCCAGCGAGTCTGACCTTTTTTTGCAGAGGCCACCGTCCTCACTGGTGCTCTCCAGGGTTCGTTCCTCGCCTCGTTCGCTCTCGGTTGGGGTGTTACCGTTGGTGCTGGTCTTGCTTCCTACCCTCTGGACACCATCCGTCGTCGTATGATGATGACCTCCGGTGGTTCCGGCCCGCATTACAAGAACATGTTGGATGCTGGTGCTCAGGTCCGTTCGGCGATCACCCTGTAAAAGTTGTGCCAGTGCTGACTTGTGTCTTATGTCTTAGATCGTCGCCAAGGAGGGTACCAAGTCGCTCTTCAAGGGTGCTGGTGCCAACATTCTCCGTGGTGTTGCTGGTGCTGGTGTGTTGTCGCTCTACGACAAGCTCCAGGAGATCATGTTCGGCAAGGTCTACTCCGGTGGTATGTGTATTTCTCACGCTCTCTCTTATCTACATGCTGACGTGTCACTCCAGGATCTGGCTGATCGTATTGAGTGGTTGGATTCTCGGGGGCTCGCCATCTTCATTACATGGGTTACGACCTTTTCTCTTAATAGACTCGTTGATTATATTCCTATTCTTGTCTTCTGTTTGGCTGGATAGATCATACAGCGATTTATTAAGAATTCGAAGTAACATGCATTCGAAAGTATACCCTTCTTGCATCCAGAACGGCGCAAAGTCAACGCCTGCGTGCCGTCAGAAACATGTTTAGATTTTGAGTGAATAAAGGAACGGACTAAGTGAGCCGCTCTTCATCGCGTTGTGTGTTGAGCTGTAATATGAGAATGGACTTGAACTGCTCCTTTGCTCATGCCACTCTGGCACCGACCATGGTCCGTCTTGCAACGTCGTAATCTCGTACTCCCCACTGGTGTCTTTGCCAGGGACGTGTCTACGCAACCTCTGAAGCTCGTCCTCCGGCCATACCAAGAGTCTTGTCTCGATGCTTGTCTCGATGCCCTCGAATCCGGCGTCTCGCGCATCGGTGTATCTTTGCCCACCGGTGCAGGCAAAACCGCTGTCTTCATCTCGCTGCTGTCCCGCATATCACCTCCTAAGACCCAACCCGGCGCGACGCGTTGTTTGGTCATCGTGAATAGCATCGAGCTCGCGAGACAATCTGCCAGCCAAGCTGAGAGACTGAGGCCTGATTGGACGGTGGAGATCGAGCAGGGTGTGAAGCATAGGGCGTCGGGGACGGCAGATATGTGAGTGTGACGGTTGTATTTGTACCCTATTGGCGCGCCAGGCTCTGACGGTTGAGCTGGTGATGTATATAGTACTATTGCGACGTATCAGACTTTGCTCCAGGCGCAGAGACTTGCAAAGTTCGATCCGAAGTGTTTGAAAGCGGTGGTTGTGGACGAAGCGCATCATGCTGCTGCACCTTCGTGAGTTTCCCTTGCTCCTCTTCCTTGTTGGAGGATCAACAAACGGCTGTGTACATAAGCTGACTGGCGGAGTAGGTACCGCAAAATCCTCTCCCACTTCGACCGCGCCATCGTCCACCCAGATTCAGAATTCACACCGCCTCCCATCCCGCATACTATCCCGGTCATTGGCTTTTCTGCGACGTTCAGCAGACATGATGGCCTCGCGCTTGGGTCCGTGTTTGAACGAATCGTCTACCATAGAGACTTTCTGGAGATGATCAAGGAGCAGTGGTATGTATGGACCGCTTGTCATTTGACGGCAGGTTCTGACTAGACAAGTTTAGGCTGTGTAACGTCCGCTTCACGACTGTGAAAGCGAATATCAATTTGAAGGAGGTCACCGTCAATTCGCGCACGGGCGACTTCAATCCTACGAGTCTTGCTCAGGTGATTAATACCGAGACGGTGAACAGGTTGATCGTCCAGACGTGGCTCGACAGAGCAGGTGCGCCTACGCTCGTATCTTCTTCCCTGAGAATTCCCGCTAACACCGTTATTCATCAGGTTCAGAGAAACGCAAATCAACGCTCGTTTTTTGCGTCAACCTTGCGCACGTACGACAGTTGACAGATTGGTATCGTGCATACGGGATCGACGCACGCTACGTCTACTCTGGGACGCAGATAGCGGAGCGTAAGGCCTTGGTGAATAGTTTCAAGGCGGGCGAGTTTCCGGTACTCGTTAACTGTGGTGAGTATCTACCTGTCCATCTTCTCACGTACGAATACTGATCACTGGTGATGGTTGTAGCCATTCTGACCGAAGGCGCGGACATACCCAATATTGATTGTGTGGTCGTTGCACGTCCTACGCGCTCGAGGAACGTGTTTGCGCAGATGGTCAGTCTTTCACTGTTATCAATTTGGAGAAATGGTCGTTAATGCTGAACGTTCGGTCGGACAGATTGGTCGAGGCATGAGATTGTCTCCTGGGACGGGGAAACAGGACTGTCGAATCATCGACTTCGTGGACGTTATGGACCGTGTCCCAGGCATCGTCTGTACCCCAACACTCTTCGGGCTCGATCCTAACGAAGTCGTCGAAGGTAATCTATTTCTCACTGGTCACCAAATCCAGCTCTGACGTCGTCAATGATACCGATACCTGTCAGACCAATCAACAGAAGACTTGGAAGGCCTCGCAGAAGCCAAATTGACAGGAGAAGACGGTGATATAGTGTGGCGCGGGGACAGCACGGATAACATTCCAGAACCGACGACGGTGACCTACATCGATCACGATAATCCATTCTCCTTGGTGAATCAAGCTTCGGGCGCTGCACCGAATATCATGAAGCTCAGTCGGAATGCTTGGGTAGGATGTGGAGACGATGTGTATGTCCTAGAGTGTCTTGGGAAAGGACATATTAGAATCGAACCTACGGAGGATGATGAGGGTGTGTTGAATTCATTTCGTTAAATACTTATGTCCCTCCCTCATATAGGCTGCTTTCATCACTGTCGCAGGGGAAGTTCACTTTGCGGCTCACTATGCGCCAGCGATGGATTACAAGACCGCAATGGCCATGAAAATCTCGCGATACCACCATAATCGACAAATCCTGACGGCGACGACATTGACCGACGCCGTCCGGGGCGCAGACACATACGCCACGCAAAAGATCATGAAGGGGCCCTTAGCACTCGGGTTCGTTTGCGTTGCTGCAGTCCCATCTAGTCATCTATACTCACCCTAATTTGTCGGAATGAAATGGTTCGGTGCTATCCAGGCTACTCCGGTCTGCGAGGTGGAGACAGCTCCCGGCGACCGCTAACCAACAGGCCTTCGTCGCCAAGCGCTGGGGCATGCGTCCTACGACGCTCATTCACCCAGATGCATCGATGACATCGGCGGGTGAATCTAGCTTTCCTGACGAGGTTAAGAAGTTGACGAAGGGCCAGGCGGCGAACATCATCACCCGGCTGAAACATGGTGCTCAGGTGCGTTGTGCTTCTTTCTTTGTACGTTCCATTGATTGCGCGACTTACGGGCGGACATCATTTCCTTGTATGAAGGCTCGATATGCGAAGAAGGTCAAGGATAAGTTGAAGGCGGAGAAAGTGGCGACGAAGGAGCGGATGAGACGGGCGAGGGAGCATGTGAGAGTCGGGCCTTTACATTCTGGTGATAGCGCGAAGTTGTTAGTGGAGGACAAAAAGGACGCTTTCCTATCTTGAGGTTTTTCTTGGTCTCGTCTCGAAGGTGGACGTTGTATGCTATATACCATCCTGTAGTAACAATACCATAATCATGATCCCGTCACAGAAAGCAACGGCGACACCGCCAACGAACTCTGCAACGTCTTCACCGCCGCTCCCTGCGCCCTCTCCACCGCCGCCCCCATCGTCTCTAACCCATCACCACCACCACCACCGCTGCTTTTCCCTTCAAACAACCCCGGATCCCGAACCACCTCGGCCAACAACGCACCGACCAGAGTGTCCCCGGCGCCCGTGACGTTCACGATCGAGTCCTCCGCGATGATATGCGCAGGGAAGTGACGCAGGAGGATGGTGTCGGATTTGCCGTGGAGGATGATGGTCCGGCGGGGGACGTTCGTCTGCTCCCCGCTAATCCATGATGATGAGTTTGAGGAGGAGGAGGAGGAGGGGATGCGAGAGACGAGGATAACGCCGATGGATCCGCATTTGATGACGAGGTTCTGGAAGAACGGGAGGAGGTTGATCGCCATTTGGGCTACTCCTTCATGGACGAGGAAGCCTAGCGTCTGCTTGCTCTTCCCTGCCCCTTCTCCTTTTCCGTCGCCCCCAATCGCGGTCCCAGAGTGAGAATGAGGTCCAGGTGCGGCAGGAAGTCGTGCGAGCTGCTCTAACTGTAACCGAAACTCGGAACCAAGGTTGAAAGAGTCGATGGTCCGCCACCAGTGTGGGTGGCTCGTGAGCTCGTATGACTCGGAACGGGCGGCGTTGTAGAGAGCGGAGAGCTCAAGGAGGTTGGGGGATGCGAAGGTTATTGGGGCAGAGCGTAGTGGAGTGTTCGTATTCGTATTTGTCCTTGTATTGAGCCATGAGGCGATGGCGGGCATGATGGCGGTGGATTTGAGGACGGAGGTGGGTTCGCTGGTAGGGTAAGGGGAGTTAAATCAGATTGTAGAAACTATAGGAATGAAATCGCTTACAAGAAGACTAGGTAGAAGATGCATGAGCGGTAGATTAGTCGAGCCTGTGTAGGGAGGGAAAGGCAAGAACAATTCACCATTGAGGTTATTCTCGCTTGCGTGACGAACGACAGAAGTGAGCATCCTTGGGGATAGGTTAGCGTCGACAGCCACCACCGAAGGGCTATGCCTTTTCAGCTGATCGAGAACCTGATACAGAAGAAACAAGCACACATCAGTAACAAATTCCAAGGCATACAAGTAGGACACAAGCTACACACCTCCTTCTCTTTCAACGACAAGATAATATCCATATCTGCCACACCCCCGACAAGCCCACCTTTCCCGTCCAACACCATATTACACACCGCGGTCCGTCCATCGTCAGCCTCAACTTCGCTCTCATTCTGATCGGCGGCCAACAGCCCATCGGTTCTCATCCCCATCCTACCCATCTCATCGACCAACAACCTCCCAAACGAGTCCTTACCCACAGCCGAAACCAGCACCGTTGCCTCCTCCTTTGACTCTGAGTTAGTAGCCGAAGAAAGTGACGAAGACGAAGAGAACGAAGAAAGCACGCGATGTGCCGCCTCTGCTACATTACGCCCTACACCACCCAGAGAAAGCGAGACGCGCCCGGGGGAGGTGGAGTATAGACCTTTGGTGCCCGTTGGGTCGACTGTGGGCGATACCTGGGCTGTGATGTCGATTGCGGCTGAACCGATGACTACGAGCTTGGCTGGAGGTAAGGGGAGAGGACTTGAGGCCGAGGAGGTGGAAGTTGTAGTTGATGTTATAGATGTCGGGACCGTCACTGGAAGCGGAAGGCTGTCTGAGGAATTGAGCCCAGGGACAGAGTAGGTCTGTAGAAATATACCGCGAAGATGAATTCATTCATTGGTGGTATATATAACACACAAAAAATCAGGACTCATACATTCGATCCTCTCGTCTCATCCTGCTCAGCAATAAGCTTCGCATGCTCCACCGCGATCCGTCCACCCACCAACGCCGTATTCTCAATCAACGCAATATCTACACATTCAAGTTTCATATCACCCGTCAGTCAAGCCCGACTCATCACAAAACGGAGTGAAAGGACAGGTGGTGAGACATGAGAACGTACTGCTAGCGAGAGACTTCCCCTCCGTAAGCTCGCCGACACGTTTCAGCAACCACGGAGTGGCCTCCTTCCCGCGCTTGGCCATCCCGTTCCCTTCGGATTCTGCGACGGCCTGTTCGACGGCTTCTTGGATGCGTTCGCCGATGGCTTCGTAGGTTTCGGGGATGGGGACGCCGAAGAGGACGCCGGTGTTGATGTTGAGCTTGTCATGGGTCACTAGTGGTTGTGCATCGTTCGAGTAGTCAATAAGGATTGGGTGAGATTGGAATTGTAGAAAGGGGGGAGAGGGAACGGGGACACTGACGTAGGACTTGGGCAGCCGTTTGCGGGTCGTCTAGCCGCCATGGACTCTGAACAATAAGGTTGATATCAGTTATATGCTCTCATAGGAAAGAAGTGGGATGGGATACTGTACCTTGAACCCGCTTCGACGACTGTAGAAGGCGGGGAAGTCGTTCGTCTTGCCGTAGGTGAAGACGGGCACTCCAATGGTTTCCTATATGCCCACATCAATGCAAGAAAATCACCGAGTGGAGGCGAGTGATTACCAGATATTCGAGCGTCCTAACATAAATCCAAGTAGGTGTTTAGACGACTATCACATCTCAAGGACACATATTTCTGACCTTCCAATGTCCAGGATGGATTTAACGCCAGCTGAGACGAGTCCGACGGGGCTCCTACTTAGCTCTAGCAGGTCCGCAGAGACATCCATAGCTGAAGTAAGGACACGCATCAGAGCTACATTCATTGGGCGAAACTAAATCACGTACAGTTCTCTCCTCCGCGATGTACACCACCGAGTCTGAGTTATATAGCCCGTTCAGTCACAAACTCATAGCAGTGGCACCATGAACGGCATCTCACCCTCCTGTAGCAAACACCTCCACCACTCTTCAATAAGGGAGAAAAGTAGCGTATAGGTCTCAAACACACATACCTTTATCCCCGCCAACGCAGCGAGTATAAGCGTCGTACTACAAGTCGTCCCCCCATCCCTCTTCAACGCCATAGCAGCCGCCAAATCCCTCCTCGAAAGCTTAACAGACTCCGTCGTCGTATCAGCCAAATACTCAAGCTCCCCGCGCTCGAGTCCATACTTAATCCGTCCGCCAATCAGACCTATGGTCGCGGGTACCGCGCCCGTAGAAGCGACGTTACGCTCGACAGAGAGCGCGGTGTCGAGGTTTGTGGGGTGGGGCATGCCATGGGTGATGATGGTGGACTCGAGCGCAACTATTGGTTTTCTGGTGATGAGGGCATCGAGGACTTGGGGGTGTATGTCTATGGGTGCGCCGTTGTCGAGGGCGCGCGAGAGCGTGGCTGGGAGGGATTTGCGGATTGAATGTGAGAGGACGGCATGTCGAACGGCGGAGGGCAACATGGCACGAACGACAACGACAACGACGACGACGACGGTCTGACTAGTTGTTGAGGAATAAATTCAACTCGAGCCAGCAGTAGTTATCCTCCCGACTCAGCGACGCGTCGAGAGAGCAGCATGTTGAGAGACGGGTTGGCCGTGCGGAACTGGGAAGGATCTCGGATGCGCGGATCTGGATAGGGGTCCACATTTATCTTATCTCTGTTTGTGTACATGGACGTCCACAACGCTGCCTCCGTCGACGCTCGTCTCGACACCGAGCATGGCCCCGTCGTCCTCACACACGACAGACTCGACACGAATGAGATAATCGTGTCCGTAGGCGACGATGCCGCCGGTGCTGTCGCCGTCTTCATAGGCACCACTCGTAACTCCTTCAAAGGTGTCTCACCATCCCCCTCAGAGATTCATTTCTCAAACTCGTCACTTACGCCACGATCTAGGAAAAGTAGTCACGAAACTCGAGTACCAAGCCTACAGCAAACTCGCCATCAAGACCATCTCCGACATCCTCACCACCACCCGCGCCTCCGTCTCCCGCTCATCCCACGATCCTTCCCCCAACGCAGTCTCCCCGCTCATACGGTGTACGGTGCACCACCGTTTAGGAACGGTACCGGTCGGAGAACCCTCTATCGTGATCGCCGTATCGTCGCCACATCGGAGGGAAGCATTCGCCGCGTGTGAGCTCATCCTCGAGGAGGTCAAGAAGAAGGCTCAGATATGGAAGAGGGAGTATTATGAGGGCGAACGGGAGGAGGATGCGGAGTGGAAGGCGAATGCATAGCACTGGGGGAATGGGACGCTGAGCTGCGTTATCCCCGAAGGAAGCGCATGCGTGGAAGCGGAAGATGGTCATCAGCGCCAAGGCGCCCATAAATACAATATGTATTATCACAATCGATGTCGTCGATGCAATGTAGCAAATATGAGTCCATCCGGGAAATAGTACAGTCCCAAGCGCAAGCGCTCGGGGAGAAGCTAAAAGCACAATAATGATCTAAACCTTACAATGCACGCCCAAGAAAAGATCGATAGGGAAAGAGAGTGATACGTGGCCGGTCGACGCCTACTCTTCCTCCTCTGGGTCGCCGATACCACTCTGCAAGATAGCGAACGTCGTCTCAGATTCTGGTAGACATGGCGAATCGTAGATCTTGCAGACACGGGTGTTGGCTCGTCCCTTCTTCAGTTGCAATCTGTAGCAAGTCAAGTCATGTACCTTCATGAGCCACTCGTCCACAATCTAGCGCGTGGAGAAGACATGCTCACCGTGTTGTAGATGCGTGAGCGAGGATATTCCCTCCGATCGGCTTCTTCTCATTGGCGGCGTATGGACCAGCAGAGGCGTCAGGATTTGACATCACTTGGTTGCTAAAGACGACTGCGATCCCGAACTAGAACGACATCAGTCCAGTAAGTGCGGTAGCATGATGAAGGAGCCACCATACCTCATCCGCCAGTCTTTGCAAGTTTCGCAAGAACTTTGATAAATGCGCTTGTCGAGCAGCCAGTTCTCCACGACCGATGTAATCACTCCGGAACAACGCAGTTGCAGAATCGACGATAAGCAAACAGAATCTGTTACCATCATCGCAGTCAGCATCTGCACCTTACCTCCTCATTCGCCTGGGAGAAACGCATATACTCACCTTGACTCGGACATCAGAGCGCTTGCGGCCGTTAATAACTGGTACTGATGATCCGCGTTATACGCCCTCGCGTATGCAACATTATCCAGGACCTCCTCCCCGTTCAGTCCCAGGCGCTCTGCGACGGCAAGCAATCGGACGGGACGGAAAGTGCCCTCAGTGTCGATATAGAGACATTTACCCTCTCCACCTCCCATATCGACAGGAAGCTGACATGTCACGGCTAGGGTATGGCAGATCTGTGACTTTCCTGTCCTGAACTCTCCAAAGAGCTCGGTTATGGAACCAGTCTCGATACCACCTGTGGAAGAGCGCGAAACACGAGGTAAGACGCCTAGTCGAAGGAGACGTGCAGGGTATGCGTACCTCCAAGTAACGTATCGAGGTTCTTCGAGCCAGTCGTTATATGTACAAGTTCCGATCTACGCGCGTGCACCTCCGTAGCACTCTGAAAACCAAGCGGAACGATCTTCTGCGCTGTGATCCAAAAAAAATTCGTCAGTCCACACATTGGATGTATGCGCACCCGCCGCGACGAGAACTGCACCTTCAGCCAAGATCTTCTCCGCTTTCTGCTCAGAGATACCCTTGATACTAATGAGGTTCTTCTTCGGGGTATATGCGATGGCTTCGACGGTGTGGAACCCTGCGTCTTCGAGTTTCTTGATGTCGTTCGGGTGGATGCCGGCCTCCTGCAGCTTCTGGACGAGCATGGGCCCGGAGATTTGAAGCCCTTCCTCCTCCTCTTCCTGTTGCTGTTGCGAGTGTTGAGAGGCCATGGTATAGTAGTGCGTATTATGGGTATAGGACGCAGGGGCTTTGATGGTAACTTTGCAGAGATGGTGGTGGAAGGGACGATCCTGAGGAAACGAGGCGAATGCATTGCCAATTTGGTCGACGCGTCGTCACGTGGGCGCGCGAGTCACGGCGTTCCCGATCGCGATTTTTCCTCGCCACACTGAGTGGCGTAAGTGCAAATGTCAAATTATCAGAAAGACTGGTGAAAGAGCAAATGCAATAGGACGATAGTCAGGTGTATAGTGTAAGTAACTATCTTCATGAGGGCAACACGGGATCAGCTAGAGCGAAAGGCTCCTTGCCCAAGGTTCTCTCGTACCACTGGACGGCCGCCGCGTCGAGCACGACGGTCGACCACTTGACGAGATCATACACTGTAGCCTCCTCCACGCTCATCACCTCCACATTATGCAAATTCCTCGTCGTCCTCTCCAACCTCTCCGGAACATCAGCCTCTCCACTCACGAACAGAACCTTGTCCTGATCCCACTTCAGCTCCTTCAACCTCTGCAGCATCCCCTGCGTCTTATTTCCCTTCCACTCGAGACTCTCCACCACCCTCAACCCACGCTCCTTCACCCGAGTGCTCAAAGCGACCCGCAGACCCATCTGTATCACTTTGCGGTTCAACTTCGTGCTGAAATCGCGGGGCTTGGGTCCAAAGGCGACACCTCCACCCTTAAGCATGGGCGACTGGCCGTCGCCGAGACGCGCACGACCGCTTCCCTTTTGACGACGGATCTTGCGTCCTGAGCCGCGTACTTCTCCGCGGGTTTTCGTGTTGGCGGAGCCTTGACGGAGCGAGTCCAGGTGGTGGACGACGCAGAGGTGGAGGATGTCTCGTCGGATGGGGTGCGCGAAGACGGTGGGGTCGAGTTCGGCGACTTGGTCTACGGGTTCGGTGCCTCGTGGGGGAGGAATGAGAGAAGACATGGCGACGTAGACGGGTTTTCTGGTGGGGACGGCTGGAGGACACTTGGTAATGATTCACAGAATGAAGTCCAATGACTTAAGCGCACCTTGTTCAACCTCTACGACAGTACCATCGGGGGAGTTCGCAGCTGGAAGCCGTGTATGTGAATAGAAGTGACAGCAACGGACCAAGGATGCACTATACCTCTAACAGAAGCCCTAACATTCGACCGAGCTGTACAGCTATTAACGAAGCAATCCATACAGAAAGGTCAAAGAACACGTACCTTGCAGAATACTTGATCGCCGACTCCTACGGTTGAGCAGTGCTCCTTCAAGTGGTGAATCTGGCGTCGCAGCGACAGCCTCCGTGGCGAGTCTTCGACATACTAGTTTGGAGGGCTATCATCACTGCTATTAGCACAGATTTTCGGATAGTTCAACACTAACTAACCTGGCCCAAGGCCTGCCGTGCGAGAGCGAACATAGCGCGTTCACTTTGGTAAAGAGGAAAGTAAGTGCGAGGCCTCCGTGCCGGGTCTCCGGGTGGCCGGGGTCCTCCCACCGGTGCCGGCTTCGTGCTGTCTGCCCCAGCGCGCACCAGTCCACTCGGCCCTAAACGCACTCGACGACCTCGACAGGGTGAGTCTCTGCCATTTTTTGCTGCTGTTCCATCGTGTTCGACGCTCTGGAGGCTATCAATGCAGTCTACTCGTTTGAACGGCCGAAATCCATGGAGTCTGGCGTTGGATGGGTCCGAGCGTGATAGGATGACCTCGGTGCTAACTTTTGTCTCCCTTTCTTGAATCTATAGCTCCTCCTCAAGCAGAGCCCGGCTCACCTCTCCTTCTACACAAAATGTCGTCCTCTCCCAAGGCCGTCCAGACTTTCGGCAAAAAGAAGGCATGCACCAACTTCCTCTATCTTCCAACTCAGTAATCACCCGGCTAACCTACCTTGCTACTCTCCTTCTTCTGTTTTCCGACTCGTTAGACTGCCACCGCGGTCGCCCACGCTCGTGAGGGCAAGGGTCTCATCCGCATCAACGGCTCCCCCATCCAACTCGTCCAGCCCGAGATCCTCCGTTTCAAGGTCTACGAGTCCATCCTCGTCGCCGGCGAGGACGCTTTCGCACCCATCGACATCCGTGTCCGCGTCAAGGGTGGTGGACACACCTCGCAGGTCTACGCTATCCGCCAAGCGATCAGCAAGGCCGTCGTCGCCTACTACGCCAAGTACGTCGATGCGTACAGCGCAATTGAGCTCAAGAAGAAGTTGGTCGCCTATGATCGTACACTCTTGATCGCCGACCCGAGACGGATGGAGCCCAAGAAGTTCGGTGGTCATGGTGCGCGTGCTCGCAGGCAGAAGAGGTGCGTTTCTCTTTGCGGATCGGCTCGGTGCGCGTTGAGTTGGATGCTGATGGGCGGTTTTTACGATGTGCAGTTACCGGTGAAGGGTTGTCGTGCCGGGTTGTTCTTTGCTCTCCGTTCTCGTGCATTCTCGTCATCATGTTTTACTCTCCTTCTTCACTTATGCCATGACAACATGCAAGGGTCTATGCAGTGTATGATGTGGCACGCGGAATTGCAGTGCGTCTGTATCAAGACATGGACTGAGACTGGCAAGAAGTGGGACGTGTTTAGAACAGCTTGGGAGCACAGAAAAGAGTACGGCAAAGTATTCGAGATGACCACCAAGGATCTACGGATTGAGAATGAAAGCAATGAAGACGGCATCATCTCCTGCTACCACTGGTCTATGCAACTTTGCCGCCTGCGTTCGCTGTCCAGGCGAAGGCATTCCGCCCATAATACTATTACTGATTCCAAAACCTCCTTGTGAACGGTATGCGATGTCTTGACGAGTGTTACGCAAACAACCACCCGCGTTGATTTTTTTCATCGAGCGAGTGCGTAGGACTTGCGTAATTTTATTTATCCAAGTTTGAGCACATAGAGCGTCGAAGCAAACTGAGATGCTATTTCCCACGGCTACGATGTGGTCATCCCCCTATCTCCGCCACTGCACTCCGTCATTCAAGCAGGTCAAGTGGCCACGGCAGCCAATCATCCTACCCATGGCTCTTCCATACTGCCGTCGGCCTTCCTTCCAGCTCCTCCTCTCCGACAAGAGACGTTCACATCCACTCATCGCTGCTTAGATCTCTTTCCTTCTCATCCACCAACCACCATCACCACTACTCTTCACTTGAACGCCAATAATATAAATCATGTCGACCTCAGGACTCGAGAAAGTCTCGTCTAACAAGGCGTTCGGTGGTGAGCTCACGAAGTACAAGTTCAAGGTACTGTCACCAGTCGCCCCTGTCCCACAGTCATATCCTTGTCCATCGATTCGAATCCCTGACTTGCGAACGGACTTACAATAGTCTGCAGCCCTCGGAGGCCTCGACGCGAACTTCAATCTGTTCATCCCCGCTAATGAGAGTGGTGAAAAGCTGCCTGTGCTGGTTTACCTTGCTGGGTTGACTTGTACGGAGGATAATGGGTGCGTATCGTATCTCAGCCGTTTCGTCTACCTCCACTCAGCCTCGCCACATACATCATTGATCTCACATCTCACACATTTTTTGTTTTGTCCGACCCAGGGCTCAGAAAGGTGCCTTCCTCGGCCCCGCAGCGAAGGAAGGTATCGCTATCCTTTTCCCTGATACTTCTCCGCGTGGCGCGGGGATCGAGGGAGAAGATGCGGACTGGGACTTTGGTACCGGTAGGTCTCCTTCATGTGCTATACGTCCATTCATTTGCCCATGCTAATCATTTGTACTGAATATTTGTCATGCGTGCAAAGGCGCTGGCTTCTACCTGAACGCGACAAACCCAAAGTACGCGAAACATTATAACATGCGCACCCACGTCACGCTCGAACTCCCACAAGTCATCGAGTCCGCCGGACTGCCCATCGTACGCCCTGCCTTTCTTTCGATTGATTGTTTTTCATCCTCATCCACTCATACGTCTAACCCTCACCCCAGGACTTCCGCCGCGCCTCCATCTTCGGCCACTCCATGGGCGGCCACGGCGCCCTAACTCTCTACCTCTCCACCCTAACCGCCCAATCTCACTCCTCCGCCTCCACCACCGCGCCGCTCTCGCAGACCGGGTACGCGTACCGCTCCGTGTCCGCGTTCGCGCCGATCTCGAACCCGGTGAACGCGCCGTGGGGGAAGAAGGCGTTCGGCGGGTATTTGCAGGGCGGGACGGAGGAGGCGAGGGGGATGTATGATGCGACGGAGTTGATTGGCAAGGTTGGGGGTGGGAAGAAGGTGGATGTGTTGGTTGATTATGTGAGTGTTTTGGGGGTTTTTGATTGAGACTTTTGTTGTTGAGGGGAAGGTGGTGCTGACGTTGGATGGGCGTGTGTGCGATGATTTAGGGAACGGCGGACAACTTCTATAAGGCGGGCCAGCTCCTACCGGAGAACTTCGTGAAAGCTGCACGGGAGGCTGGGTTCGACGAGTCGCAGGTGGTTGTGCGCGCACAGGAGGGATACGACCATAGTTATTTCTTTGTGGGTACCTTTCCTTTCCTTTCCTTTCCTCGCTCTATCGACTGCCACAATCTGACTCGACGTCGCATTGTAGATCTCGACGTTCGGAGAGGACCATATCAAGTGTGAGTTTTGGAATATTGAGACTCGTATATCACTCTCTGACGAACGCCTTCGCTTCCACTGTTTTTACAGTCCATGCGAAGTTCTTGAAGGCCTGAATGCGACCCATTGTTTGAGGTGATGACCATGACCGAGTACTCCTTGTGTATTCTAAAAAAGGGAAGAAGTTTTATCCATGTATCAATGTTTGAAAATCATCATATCCATTGTCGCAATACTCTGTCCAATAGGGCTTATATGTTAGTAAAAACTTGGAACTTTTTGCGAAAGCTCATTGGCGGATCGGGCAGATCTTCCGCCAACAAGTTCCAAGTAAACTTGAAACATATAAGGTCTAATAGTTGGCGGACCTTGTCTTCTGTCCTTTTCTGCCAGTTCTCCGTCGGTATCTCTATGGATTCCCTGCTCTGGGGATCTTCTTATCACCGTCTGGTCTATCCTCTGCAATGACGCATCACGTCCCATAGTGAATGCTCGATGTCAGGATCTCCTTCCTCAACGCTAAGCTTGCGCCACTCGGGTCACGGTGCCACCCCCTATTCGGTTGGAATCGAGACGCGGCGATGTCCAGCACGTTCACCGTTGCCTCCGGATCCACGTCGCCGCGAACCTTCTCCTTCCCTATTCTTTCGTCCATCCCTAGCTGGTAAGTATTGCGCCCTTGGTTAATCGAATGACATTGTCCATGACGTCGAAATGTCTGCGATAATATCATTGGCACACGCTTGTGGCAACCCTTGATGCCGAGTCCGCGATTCGAAGCCACTCCCGAGTCCTCATGTCCGTCCTTTCGTAACCTTTCCTGCCTTCTCTACGATCGCCGTCCTCCTCTGACTGTTTTGCGCTCCATACATACTCAATTCCTCTCGTTACTCGCGATGCCGCCCCAAGCCTGATGCATCACGGACGTCTCGAACGACTTTTGCGTCATGGATGCGTTCATCCCGAGTCTTTGCGACGTTCATGATTTACTCGGCTTGCGTCGGTCTGCGTCATTTGTCGGTTGGTCTGCGGTATGCGCTAAACTTTGTTACGACACTGCGATCTACTAGAGAAAGCGGTGGCGGGATTGTGGTCGTTTGAAAGGTATATAAGGAGGACGAGGATGACGGGGAAGAGAGCATCAAATCGCAACTCGTATTTTCTACTGCTAGCTAGCTCAACCAACGCTTTCCTGCAAACCACACTCTCCCACCCAACCCACTACTTATCCATCATCATGTCTTCCAGTCGCGTCGCCGGTGGCCACAAGGTTCGTTGAGTCACCGTCAATCTCTTCCACCTTTGTCACCGCCGCGTCCTCCGTTTCCCTTCCACCTCCTCCTACCGTGTTCACTCTCACTCTCACCTCAAAGCACCATTCACCAACGCGTTCTTCGTTCCCTCCCATGTCACACAGGCTAACCTCAACAACCCCAACACCTCCGAAGAGGCCAAAGAGCATTCCCGCCAGGTCCTCGACGACCTCGACTCTTCCGGCTCCTACGAGGAGCAGCAGGACTCTAGCCCCCGCTCTGGCGGCGATGGGATGAAGAACGAGGGAAATGTTATTAGGGGGCATAAGGCTAATTTGAAGAGTGGGTTTTCAAGTTCTCCATTGTTCCACTTCTGTTGTGATGCCCTTTGTGAGACGTCGTTGGCTGACTTGTCTGTTTCTTGTTTGGATTCGTTGTTCGCTGTAGACCCTAACACGAGTGAGGAGGCCAAGCAGCACTCACAGCAGATCCTCGAGGAGCGGGACGCGCTCTAAAGTCTACAGAGAGAACCGTCTTTGGCATTTTGTCTGCCTCAGTGATGTTGAGAGCCATCCATGTCGGATCTGTCGCAGAAGGTGAACTGAAATGTATTCGTGAAGAAGTCTTTGTATAAATCAGTGTATATGTATGTGAACGAAGCTCGTATCGTGCTTGTGATGCCTGTGGCGTACTTGATGTTAACTCTGTCTGAGCTAATGCCAGTTTGGCGGTGACGTTGTCTTCCTTCGTCGGCGCTCACTTCCGATAGCACACGGTGCTCGCAATAACACAATGAGGATTTATAAGTAATGACAAGTACAACTCTGACGAAAACGACTTGTCCTGTTCCCAAAAGCCGACTACCGTGTGCAAGTGAAGCTCCAAGATAAATGCGCAATCCAAGAAATACAGGTAAGTCATGATAAAGTAGCAAAGTACGCCCAAGAAAAAACAAGATGTGGGACTGGTGGTCATTTCCAGGTTCGAATGTGTATGGGCCTCTGCGCCTGCACAGGGGGGTTGGTGCAGAGGAAATGGCGCCGTCACCGATCATGCTGCTGAGGGAGTGAAGTCACTGTGTTCAGCGTTCATTTGACGGCCGAGGTCTGTCCAGAGAAACCGGGAGAAATTTACGCACGAGCGTTCAGGCCATGGCGTCGACGGAACGCGATGGGCCTGCGATAGGGGTTCCGGACTCTTTGTGGATGGGTACCATCTCGATGTCGCCGTGGCCTTCACCCTCATAAACCTATAATCGACGTTAGCAGTCCTCTTAGGCTGTGATAATCATGTACTTCAATGCTGCTTACAACTGGGACGAGAGTGGTAAGCCCGTTATTTCCCGTCGACATTGTTGAGCCGTCTTGAACGGTCGGCTCGTCATCATCGCCCTCTTCATCGTCAAATTGGGTGTTCCACCAATCAGGATCGAGGGGTGCGCCGACATTGCCTAAGAATCGATCTTGAGCGAAGGCCATTTCGGGCATGCCATTGTATTCGGATGTTACGGTGTCATTTTGGCGACTCATCGCTCGAAGGTTTAAATAGAGCCTATTGATCAGAATGTTCGGAGCTCTGGTAGATGCCTAGATTCTTTAGCCCACGAAGTGACTTGGGTACTGTGTTATATGGACATACACATTGAAATACTGTGAAAAAATTTCCGAAAGTAATGATTGAGCTTGAGAAATCTACGTTGATACAAACAGACACTCTTTATAATCAGCAGGACACGAAGGATTAACAGCACATACTTTTAACACCGAAGTCTGTATTAGTGGAATAATAAGTAGGAAAAAGGATACAATAGGTTGGCTGGCAGAAGGCACGTACAACTTCCAATGCAAAGTTTACAGCTGCAATCGTGAAGACTACACTGCAGGGTATTCAACAAACGTTTCGGTACTCAGATAATAGAAGGGCATGGTTCCTCTGGTGCGACTTACAAAAAGTAAAGGGTTCCTGGAAGGCGGCGGATTTAAGTCCTATGGCTTAGGCTGAACTAGATAGTGAGCAGCTCACCATCGCGTAGCAAAAGACCAGTGAGGCTTCTCTGATTGTATCTCCGCATCTCTAGGAAGTGTCGATATGTTTTGATGAGGGTGACTCCAAAGACGAGCGTATCGAAGACCAGGGATATGAAAACGACAACAAGGCTAACTATCCGGGGCATGACACACGTACACTAATGAGTTTAGATCGCGAAAAACGACAAGATGGCCTACTTCTTTATCAGACGTCAGAGTTGTCAATATACAATAGGTAATTATTGCAGGGTTTACCGATCAGCGTCTTCTATGGACAAAGAGACTTCTCCACACATTGAGAATGCACCAAATTGACTTCCTGCGGCAGAGCGACCAGCAATTTGAGAGGAGAGATTCTATGATGATGGAAATGATTGAGCTAACTATCAAGCACCCAGGTGATGGTAGGGTCTACGTGCCCAGAGATCAATGCCGACCCTAACCAGGACTAGCACTAAGGCTACACAGAGAAAGGTCTTGTTTCGTAAGGTTATAGCATAGACCCTAAGCGTGATTAGCACTAAAACATTAGTTTGGATTTCAGTGGAGTATCAGCAGAAATAACAAGGCGTAGATTTGACTCACGGTTCGTAGTGAATAGCGCAACGGTCTGCCAAGACCTGGAAATAATGAAAAGTGAATTACAACTGGACAGAATTAAATCAGCGCAGTGATAGGTCGCGGTAAACATGGCCTGAACTACCTTTCGTCTGAGACAGAGCCGGGACTCTGAAACACGGTCAACATGATGATATATATTCCGAATATGTATCTGTTCAGAAGGAAGATGACCGTGACCGCAGTGCCGGTGGGTTTCCTTGACCAGACAATGCTGATCTCCATAGGTAAAGTTTGAAGCAGGTCAATCATCCACAAGGCTGGGTAGAAGCAACCATTTAGTTCGACGGATAGGCTAAAATGGCATCCCTAGCTCACCTGTCGAAGAGAAAATGGCAGTGTAGTTTATGATGATCCTGCATGATATTAGGACTTGATCCCGAGGCATGGAAGGGAAAACATACCACAGTCTGTCTTGGAAGACTATCTCATGCAAGATTTCTGTCGAGGTTGACATGACGAGAGGGGGGGAGAAGGGGGACGGGGGGCTGGAAGGTTTGCCAGAGGGTTGCATCGGCCTCAGGAAGTTTTAAAGCTGTATGTGTGTTCGAGCGCCGCATCTGGTTACTCCACAGAGCGATACATCGATCTTAGTTTTCAGGAAATAATGATTGAGAGCGAAGTCGATTAGGAAAAAGGTCTATGGCTCTTGTTCGATCGACACCCACGGTCACCTAGGCGATCGCATCTCTGTAACGATTTCCTAATCCTGCACAAAGCGCGGCTGCCAGAGTTTTATCTTTAACCCGACCCACGAACATCCACGCACGGTGCATTCGTCCGAAAATCTCTCGGGTGAGGCGACTGAATAAGGAGCCTTAATGAGCGGATGTCAAGCCGGACAGCAAAACGAGAACTTGAAGAACATTGACAATGGAGCCATCAACCCAACAGAACCGCCATGGGTCGAGTCGACATCGCGCTGGCTTGACTCGACCGATATCTAATGATTATACCAGGGGTCGGTTTGTGGGGATCTGCGACCGTGACAACCGGTTTCGATCGGCGATTGCAGCCAGGCGATGCTATTGAGAAATCTGCTTGCCAACCGTGCTTGATGAGATTTCAGCTGCACAATGAAGAGCACAGGGATTGCAAGAGACCGAGATGGCGCAAGACAGCACTGGCCACTGATGTTGGAGTGCTTACTTAATCGGCGCCCAGTACAAAGGAGGAAATCGTTGTTCAACCTGTAGTGTCTACGCCACCATGTTTGGCTTTGTTTGTTCTATTCCTGGCGCTCGATGTCCAACTTCGCCATCCAATTTCGCGGTTCGATCCATAGTCAACACAAACCAGCAGTCTAATGTCCCTCTTGCCTGGTACCAGACTCGTAACCAGTATCTATTGCGGGTATGTGACGGCTACGCGGGTACAAGCAATAGCCTAGTACTGCAATTCGGTCTCGCAGACAGTCCACACTTGAAGTAACCCCAGACGATCCCAATGTATTCTCTCACGGCTGTGGGTGTGTGTCAGTTGTGTGATGTCGTGTCTTATTCAGATAATAATAGGGAAGAATAGCAGTGATACACGCATGCGCAAGAAAAGAACCTATTACAATATACACGGTAATTTCGACTCATACAGCTTCCCGTAGCAACTCGAAGCCTGTAACCAACAAACCCAATAACCCTAGAATGTTCGCAGTCCAGCGCTCACAGCTCACCGCGCCTTCCGCATCGAAGTCCTCATACACCCCTGCTTCTGCATCCTATCAATCGCATCGATCGTCATCGACGGCCCCGGCCCCATCACCATCACCATGAACGCCCCGTCCGGCTCTGGCGCCCTGGCCGCGATACTGTCCGCGAGGCCGCACGTCTCGCGCGTGAAGAGCGCGGGCGAGGCGCGGTCGTTCCGCTCGAGGTATTCTTCGAGGGATTTGAAGCAGAAGCGGCGGACACCGTCGGGGAGGCGGAGGTGGGTTGCTGTTTGTGAGGGGTGGAACGGGTGGGGTGAGAGGTTTGGGTCAATGATTTGATGTGTGGGAGAGGGAGAGGGAGAGAGAGAAATGAGACGCACAGACGGGTGATTCCTGATAGATCGTCCAGAAATGCTCTGGGACCTCCCAGCGATCGTTCGGATTATCCGCGTTATGGCTGATCACCGTCCTCAACACCTTCCGCACTTGTTCTCCACAGTGCAGCACGCCCCGGTCGTCGAAACCGAGGTGGTCGTAGAGCAGCATCGAGGTCAAGAGCACCGACCTACACATCGTCATGGCATCCACATATCCGGCCAATTCGACATAATAGACATCAGTTCCCGATTTTCCACACCCAACGAGGGCGGAATAAAAATAAATAAAAATAAAGCACTCACCGCTCCGGAATGACCCACTCCGTCATCCACATCGCCGTCAATATCGAATTCGCCGGGCACAGCGTCGTCGACCGCCTCGTATTATACGTCAACCAGCCGTCCTTCGCCTTCGTCGCCTCGTCGATCATCGTCCACTCCGGCTTCGACTTGTCCCTCCGCGGCCGCAGTTTCGCCCACTGGAAGGACACGAAGCGCCGGTGGAGGGGCGATTTCGGAGGCGTGAGGAACATTTCTTTTTGTGGGAAGTCTTTTCTCATTATTTTGGTTTCGATGTCGGCGAAGGTCTTGACGAGGTTTTGGTGCTCGAGGACCTGTGGTACGGATACGGGTGTAATAATCGGTTTTGAGCCAGCTGTTTGGAACGAGCGTGTACTTAGAAGTGAGGAAGGAAGATTATGTACGTACTTCGGGGACGGCGAGTCGTGAGTAGACATGCTCCTGCCATAGATTCTCGCAGGACTCGAAAAGGGCGGTCAATTCTGGGCGGTTTTCGACGTCGTCCGGGATCTCCCAGACGGTCAGCTCCATATCGAGCGTTCCAAGTCTTCAGGTTCGTGTACATGAGTGACGAATTCTGAGCAGTAAGAGTAAGAGAAACGGCGTACCTCGCGTGCGAAAGATTGCACGTCTTCCTGCCGTCGGTGAAAAGCTCCTTGCATCTCCATTTACCTACGACGCCCCGCGCAGACGTCCCGCCACAATTCGTGCACCTACATGGTTGATGAATTAGTTTCGCCGAATAGGGCTGCAGACAAAGCAAAAGTCTCCCCACCGTTGATACTTATTAGAACAAGGAATGCATATCATCTAGGACCACCATACCATCAGTCCTTAAATCCACAAAAAAAGACCGAAACACACATACCTCCGCCGTAAACTGAATCGTCGACCTCTCTTTCGGCATGAACCCCCCATGCCCCTGAAAGTGCGCACAAACATCACACTTCGCCATCGCCGCCGTGTCCTCCATCTCATTCGTCCGCTTCTTCGAGTTCATCGTCGAGCCGGACGTGCTCGTCGGCAGCATGGGCGAGCATTTCGCGCACTTGTAATAGAGGTCGTACGGGACGTCGAGGTCCTCTTGCGAGCCGCGGAGCATGAGTCGGGCCATGTGCGTGCCGCACCCTTTGCAGTAGAGTTCGCGGTCTTGGAAGGCCTTGTTCGTCTTTTTCTTGGATTTGGAGGCGGAGGCGAAGGTGGAAGCTGGGGTCGAGGCGGAACCGGAGGCGGAGGCAGAGGTCGCGGGGGTCTCGTCGCTGTGGCTCTCGGAACTCGGAGATTCGTGATCACGGTTAGAACCCACTGAGGGCGTGCTCGTGGTCGCTGCTGAAGATTGTCCTGACGGTTCTTCTTGTGGTGTTTCTGGAAAGGTGTGATCGGACGAGAGGATACTCGTAGCTGGGGTGTTTGCTAGTCCGGAGCCAGAGCCGGAGCCAGAGCCAGAGGTGGAACTACCAGGGCCTGGTAGAGTCTCTTCTTGAGGGAACCAAGAAGCCATGAACTCTGCCTGGGCAGAGTCTAACAACGTATCCAGCGTCGTATTCGCTGAACTGAAATCGTGCATGACGTTCTGAGTCGAATGGAGTTCCGGCCAGTTAAAGGCATTGTTATCTCCGAACGAGTGGAGGGACGACTGGCCCAATTGGAAAGGCAGCTGGTTGGAGGAGGATGAAAAGATGGATTGGTTCTGTTGTTGGTTGGAAGAGGATGGGAAGGCGGATTGATTCTGTTGGTTGGATTGGAAGGACGGCAGGTTGTTCTGGACTTGTTGGGTGGAAGTGCTGTTGGTCGAAGGGGTGCTTATGGTGGCGAGAGCGAGATCGGCCTCTCGCTCCTTTCGACGCTCCTCAGCTATGCGCAACTCCAACTGTTCGCAAAGAAGTAAGCATTCTATTTAAATATGCACCAAACTTAGCGACGACGTACCTCTCTGATCCGCCGCGTCTCTCTCAGCACCTCTAACTGGATGCCCTGGTTCGAAGAGGCGTCAGACGGCTGGGTTGTGGGAAGCGCATTGGAGAACTGGAACAGGTTGGGATATATCTGCGAGTCTGACGAGTTATTATTCTGTTGGGCAGGTGCCGAAGACGTTGATTGGGAAAGACTGGCGAGGATAGAAGGGTCAAGAAAGGGAGAGTTTGCAAACGAGTTGCCATTGATGTTCGCAAACTGGCCGCCGTTCGGCTCGTACATCGTGACGATGGAAATGTGCAGGAGAGAGCGTGTGCCAGAATGGGTTCGGTATGGACCACGATATATTCGAGCACAATAACAAGGGCGACGTGTTCGGCGGCTCCTTCGGCTTGTCCATCGCCCCGATCGAACTCCTTCTTTTCTCCTTAATCAGCCCGCTTGGTCATCCGCTCAGGCACCGATCCGGATCCGCCCGCTTGTCAAAAATAGATGCTGGATTGTGCTCAAAGCGAGGAGCAAACGCTACAGTATTCTATCAACGCAACTGGACTCGGTCCACATATACCGCCTCTAGATCCTCACGGTCCTTGCTAATCCACTCAGACTCCAACGCCATCCCCACCTTCGCACGCTGTACAGGATCGTAAATGAGCAGCACTTCCACCAAGCTCTTCGCTGCGAGTTCAAGTGCTCGGCACTCAGTCTCCGCGGAAGTATGCGACAAGACAAAGGAAGACTCACCGTCGCCGAGATCGTCCCAGACGTGGGGCGAGTACCGTGGACGACCATGCAAGATCCGACGCTTGGTGTCGATATCGTTCCGTCCCTGAGGTGTCATCTCCGAGTACCGTTTGTGGCACCCACTGGAGTTACAACCGTCCAGCAGGCAACAATGGCTCGCCGCAGACGGGCAGTCAAAGTCGAATGGATGTGCTCCCCTGCATGACACGGACTTAGAATCAGATTCACCAACACAGAAATATAAACGGTAGGATAGACGGGATGAAGGAAACTGACGAGAGCATGAAATAGAGAATAACCCCGATACTCCAGCAATCGGCTGGCATCCCGACGTAGCCCAGTTCTTTATTGTCCATGGCGCGGATACCTTCGGGAGGGAGGTAAGAAGGCGTGCCGACGACGTTCAGCGTTCGTTCGTAGGCTTGTGGACGCGCGAGTCCGAAGTCTCCGATCTGGATGTGGGGGTATCGACCAGGGAAGCGGACGAGGATGTTCTCGGGCTGACGGGACGTGAGAGTCAGTCCTCGTACAGTTAGGGCGACTGATCAAGAAGCTATCACCTTCAAATCTGAGCACACCCGGGTCAGTGTATGCTTTCTCATAGAGGTTATTAAAGCACTGACCTCGATGTGAAACATGTCTGTCGTGCATATATTTGAGGCCCCTCAGGAGCTGATACATAATATACTTCGCTTCCGCTTCGCACAAGCCTTTATATGTGTCCGAGTTATAGGTGATGAAAGCGAACAGGTCAGATCCTGTACATATCTCGAGGAAGATGTATCTGTTGTGCATGTCGTTAGCTGTCCAAAGAAGTCAAACACGAAAACAAAAGTACAAGAACGAGCCGCGTTTCTTCACTTCGAATACGTGATTTATATTCGGCTGCAACAGGATATCCATCAGCAAAGACCTTCATCAGGGTAAACAAAACTCATAAAGACGCATACATGGTCCAATGCTGCGAGTATGTCGATCTCCTTCTTGATCTGTTCCATATCGTGCTTATTTCGAATGTTTCTCAGCGTCAGAACTTTGCATGCGACCTGTCGGTGCGCTCGAGTATCGATAGCGAGGTGGACGGTGGCGAACGAGCCGCATCCGAGGGTATGGGATGTTACTTGAAACCGACCGATCGCCTGATGGGACATGCGAGCATTAGGACAGACAGATGGAATGCCGGGATGAACTGTACCACAGAGGAAATCTCGGACGTTGGGGTCGAGTCGAAGGGGGAGTGTTTTTGTAGTGGCGCGTGTATCAGGTGGACGCATCGGAATGCTGGTTACGCGAGTTACGCTGGTCAGTATGTGATAGGAAGAAAGGAGGAACTAAAAGGATAATTGCTTTTTGAAGGAATGATTTCGAGGAGATCGCCGTCCATGAGGATGACTGAGGTCCGTCGAATCCTGTGGCCATTGAGGATAACACCGTTTGCTGAGACGTCCTGTGCGCGATTCGAAATAAGGGAATGATCTGCGGTCGTAAATGTTGAAGTGCTTACCTGACACGAAACAATAACCCCTCCAGTGCCCGCTTCGACCCTATTCATGAACACTCAGCATCGCTCTCGTCTCTCCTTCACCAGGACAAAGCAGCTCACGCATATAACTTGCAGTGCACCCCCGAAACCGTCCCGTCCAGAATGACATACGAACTAAACCCGATAAAATGTCCTGCCACTCTCAGCCTTGCACTGACACATGTAGATTGTCAAAAAGGGGGCGTTCTGACCAAAGAGCTGAATTGCGCCCGACCGTCACAGGTCTTGCAATGCTCAAGAGAATCACTGGCAAACATGTCATTCATGGGTTGAAAGTGCGGATGATTGATCATGCTCACCTTCTTTCCTACCGGCTACCTTGTCAGTAGCCACCAATTTCGCGCATATATCGTCCTTGGTTATACGAGGAGGTGGATAGTGATCGGATATTTGACTGTCGTAGCTTTGATCAGAGCAAAAGTCTGGAGACATATAAGAGCAAAGATTTCGTCGTTTCACTGAGATGAGGGCCCAGCTAAGAGTCTATAGCGAGAGAGGAGAGCAGAGAGCAGAGGCCAAGAGGAAGAGAGCTTCCGGTCGACGCCACGACCAGACGTGCCACGCGCGGAGTTTCTCAGCGCCATCTTGCCGGAACACGAACAGAGCCAACAACCGGGAACCGTTAGTCCAAACCTTCAAGTAAGGCATGCACGAAAACCGACTCGAAGAGACGAAAAGGATACAGTGAGCGCATGCTACAATTCACCAAAAGGAGCACACAGAAAATACAATCATTCGTAGCCCTTCCCGCTCCGCTGCTTGACCCGCTTCCCTTTTTTGTGGTGCTTCTTCCCCGGATGGGCGTCCCCAGCGTTCGCCATCACCGATGCGATCCTAGCTCTCCGCCCGCCCAATGACGTTCCATCGTCTGCGATTGTATTTTGATGCGGATAAAGCTTCGCGCGACTGAAACCCTGTTCAAAGCGCGCGCCTGACACGAAAGGACGGGCAGCCAAGCCAGCCTCATCAGCGAAGAAAGACGTGTCGACGGTTTGTGACTTGTGGCCTTGTCCTTTCGCGGGGAGGATGCCGTCAGCGCCGATTCTCTCGACGTCTCCCGCTATGAATGTGTCTGCGTTTTTGCCGACACGTGTGATGGGCGCCCGTTTCTTGCCTGCGGCTCTTTGCATCGCTAACTCTCGAGTCGCCTGATTGAATTCGTCAGAGTCGACTCCGGGAGGAGGTTGGCAGAAGAGTAGTTTGGCGTTGACGTAGTCCTTGAGGATGAATCGCGCCGCTCGAGCCTCGTCTGGGTTGCCCTGTCCTGAACGCATGAAGCCTCGTGCCACTATAATGTCAAGCAAGATATCAGATTGATCGAAATGCTAAGGCAAATAAAACGAATTACTGACCGGCATACGCGATGAGCAGGTCTTCCGCAGCGATCTTTCCATCACCTCCTTCCTCAACGCCTTTTGACCTGACTGTCAGGCCATAGACCATCTCCAGAACTTCTTTCGGTATACGCTTAACCACTAAAGATGCTGGACCAGTATGCTCTCGCAGTTGGTCGATGGGCAGCACACCGTCACAGACCAAGTCGGCCTTCGTAGTGGCAAATTGAGGGAACACGAGACCCGGACAATCACAGAGGACGATGTTGTCCGAGAGATGGATGGTCTGGAAGTGCTTCGTTTTACCGGGCGTCGACGAAACCGAGACCTTCTTCTCACCGAGAAGCGAGTTGATCGTACTCGATTTTCCGACGTTGGGGTAACCAACAAGGCCGACGACTAAACGTGTGGGATGATTACCCGCAGAATCTGTGAAGGCTAGAGAAAGAGTTGCCGGTCAGACGAGACGGGGATCACGGGTAGAATTGGCCAACTTACTCGATAGTTCTGGAGCAGTCTTGATGAACAGATCCTCCAGCTCGAGGACGGACAATACTCGTGCGCGAGGATCTTGACCATCAGGTGTATCTTCTTCAGTGGGGATGTAATAGTGATCGTCCTCGGATTCTTCGGACTCTGATGAAGCGTCGTCTGCCTCGGAATCTTCTTCTTCGTCAACATGGTCCGTAGCAGCTGATGGGATGAGCTCGTCCTCGTCTTCGTCGGAATCATAAAGGTGGTTGGCTGCCTCTTCAGCAGCCTCTGCTTTTCGCTTCTCCTCAGCAAGAGCTTCACGACGTGCTTCCTGCAGAGCAGCTGCATTGGCAGCAGAGAAGAATGCGTATGTGATACCCTGGGCATCGAAATAGTCAGCCCACAAGCGTCTGTGATAGCCTAATGAGTACATGTGTTAACAGCGTTGAAAACGAAGAATCGCACCTTTGCTTGGCCGTGAGCAGATCCGCCTTGTTAATAAGCAAGAGATTTCTCCGCTTGTCTTTGCCGGTCCCTTGCTCGCCCTCCGCCCCCTCCACATCCGCGACATAGGCTTCAAGATCATCGCACCGGAATCGTAGTGGGTTGCGAGCATCGACGATTTGCACGACAAGGTGTGAACGTTCCAGGACACGCCACAGTTGTCGCCATACTTCGATGTTGCGTTCAAAGGGTGTTAGGAGAAACTGGTCCCGCTCCTGTAGTCTACAACCTTGATATGAGACGACGAGCGGATCTAAGGTATGATGATACGCACTCTGCTAGCCCTCTCCTCCACTCCAGGAATGCATCCTTCTCCTGCCTCTCCAACTGAGCGGTCGTCATGGTCTTCGTCCAAGGCGGTCTTCTGGGTACTCGAAGACGCTGCTTGTTCTCCGACTGTTTCTGCAGAGTACTTTGCTCTTCTTCTTCGGAAAGCAAGTATGGATTGTGTGTTGGGTTTGCGGATCCTTGTATGACTCTGACATTTCTACGTTCTAGATGTGAAAAAAAGGTCCTCGGTATTAGTATCGACTTCAAGAGGTAAAGACGGGAAAGTAACGCACCTGCTGTGAAGTCCGTTGCAGCTAACTGTGCGGTATTCAAAAATTCGTCAAGATCGCGCTCTTGCGTGACTGATTTCAGACGGGTGGTCGTGTCTAAGTCGGTGGTATACTGAGGGAGTGTAATTTTTTTCAGAGCGCTAATAGTGTACTGGGATGTAATGAAAACGTACCAGGCCTGATTCGTGGGCTTGGCGAGCATCTTTAACTTTCTTATTGATGATGGCCCTTCCGAGACCACTGGGGTTAGGATTTCTTGGCTTTGGAGCCTAGCATAGATATGAGGACATGGCGCACGAACAAGATGAACGAGACCTACCATAGATGTAGATACAGTGCTTTATAAAATGTAAGGAGCTACTGATACAAGACCTCTATACGCCGAGGAAGGACGAGATACAAAGCAGGGTTATTGGAACTCTTCAAGACCTGCTCTCGAACGGTGAGGAAGTACAGAGACTGTTGGGAAGAGAACACAAAATGGTGAGGGCCACTGAAAGACGCTGGAGTTTTCGGAGTGGGTGTGGCTGACCAATGACTCAAGGACTCGGCGCGATCAAGATCTTGAGATTTGGAGCACGCGATTATCTCAGTAAGATCGGCGGGGATTTCGCCGAGTACTTGTTCTTTCTTCCTCCTCGTCATGACCAGTGATCATCGTTCAACTTTCACCAGCTGGAAAATGCGAGTGTATTTGTTTCTTAATCCAGCATGGTGTAATATTCTCTTTCGTGAACCTAGTGGTGAAAGATATAGCATATGTTTTGGCTTTCCGTCGTCAACTTATTTTCAACGATGATGACCTTCTAAGACACATTTCTGGGCTGCCGGTCAAGTCACGGATATTTCACTCTAGGATAGGTATAACGAGAGAATATTAACCTCCTCACTCTCTGCCCTGCACTAACCACCTTTCTGCTAACCCTCCACGCGTGGTTGAGCAGTGATGAAGTATTTACTCGCATCGGCTCTCCTCTTGGTTGCCCTTGAAACATCACTCGGTGAGTGTTACTCTCGTCGTGCAAGTTTCGTATCTAAACCATCAACTGTCCTTAGCCGATCCGAACGACTGGGTGAATATCGAGTACGTTGTGGCTCAAGGCAAGAACGGGGCGCCAGCAACTGCCGATGCTCGTCGGACTATCGCGAACGGGGCAAAGGCGAATTCGAAGGACGGACCGTGGAGTGAGTCTACGAAGAATGTTATTTGCACCTATATAACGCCTCGCTCACACCTCACCACGGACAGGTGTCGCTAAGAACGCTAAGAATACACCTCCCAGTGGTGATCCGCACGATTACCTGAGTTGGGCTCCATAGTATGTGACTTGCATAGTTGACGGTCATTTTGTTCTCGTGGCTCATTCCTTACTCCAGCCACTGGCCAAACTGCAACTGGTGCTCCAACAAAGGTGGAAACCAGCACATCACAAACCCGTCCGACGGAGACGGCTTCGATTCTTCCGATCCCGATTATTACAATGGTCCCGGAGATTGGGGCGACTATCCGGATGATGAGGGAGACGGCATGCAGCAGGACTATTCCCTCCCACCTTTGCTACAACGACGCATGGTCCGCGTTCGACGAGACTCCGTCCTCCCTTCTGTGGACGTCAGCTCTGATATACCAGTAGCAACGGGAACGCCTACTTCCTCTCTGTCCACCAGCTCCACGACATCAGAAACGGCCTCAACAACTAATCCCGCCTACGATAACACCCCTATGCAAGCTAAGAAAAGCCCGACGCCAAGTTCAAAATGCACTCCCTCTCCGACCAAGTCGTTGGCACCTAGCGCGAGTAAGTCATCCTCAGCTTGCTTGCTTCACAATTCTGAACTTCTGTCCTCAATGTTCAGCTTGGACAACATGCCCTTATGTCGTTCGCGATGGGCAAGTGAACCCCGACGTCCGAACCCTGACAGCCGGTCCAGCTTTAACAGACATGACCCAAAGCGTCCTCTACAACGCCTTTGCACATGCTCTGCAAGCTGGGGGAGCAGCCTCGGCAACCTCTGTCTACGCTCAACGTGCCGTTAACGCTCTCACGGCGTTCTTCATCGACTCCAATACTGCCATACACCCCAATGTCAACTTCGGACAAATAGTGCGCGGACCGGGACCAAGCGGCAAGGAGGGGACATTTACCGGCATATTGGATCTGCGGGGGATGGTCCGGGTCATCAACGCTATCCAGGTCCTGAAAGCTACCGCTGGGACAACGTGGACGGCAGAGCAGGATAAGGGTATGAAAGCATGGGTGACAAAGTACGTTCAATGGTTGGAGACCGACAAGCAAGCTCAGAAAGCTGCGGATAGTCCCAAGTACGTCTTCTTCTTCCTCTTGGACAGCTTGATGGCCTCACTGACAAGCCTGCGTATAGTAATCACGGATCATTCTTCGTCAACCAAATTGCGCCGTTGAAATTATACCTGGGAGATACGCAAGGAGCTGCTCAAGCAGTGAAGCTCTACTTCTCTGGCAAGTTCCAAGATCAGATTGCCCAGTCCGGCGAACAACCCTTCGAGGCCGTTCGTACCAGGTATATAATCTTTCCCTCTAGGGGTATGACTTTGTCACTGATTATGAACAATTTGCAGGCCATACCATTACCGGGCCTTCAACTTAGAAGCGATGATTGTAAGTCTTTCATTGCATTGTTGATTTCACGAAGCTCACACAACGATTACTATCTCAGACCAACGCGAAGGTCGGCGATGAACTTGGCTTGAATTTCTGGACCACGAAGTCAAAGCACGGCGCCACGATTCAAACTGCCGTCGACTTCCTCATTGCCCAAAACCCCAAGAAAGAGGACCCTCTCGACGCCGTTCCTCACGTTGCAGCGGTCGCAGCCGCCTATGGTGACCCCAGCGGGAAATACGCCGCCTTCCTTAAACGCACCCAGAGCAACTATCAACAACGACCGTACTGGTTCTACGATCAGAGCTCGGCTTTCAAGACGGCGCCCGCGACGAAGAAGAAGAGGATGGTGTTTGATGCTGTAGCTCCACCCGTGGGCATGATGGAGACGGGGATGTTTTCGACGGAGATGCTTGGGGTGAATGGGACGGTCGTCGATTATGACGAGGGAAATGCTGGATATGACGCCGCCGATGCCCCAGTTCTATCTTTCGAGTGTCCTGCAGCATTCGCGGACGCGACTTCGGTGGAGATTGACGATGGGATTTTCGTTACCTGCGAGGAGCTGGAGCCGTTTTATAATCTGGGCTTATAATATTCAGGTGGAAGCGCCGTTATATTTATTTGTTATTTATCTGTATTCATATATATAGAAAGGAACCACTCATTTATTTGCGGGCAACGAAGCTTGGGCGGGAGGGTGATGATGGTTGCTGTGGCGTGGCCGTGCGGGGCGCCACTGCGCGCTGGCCGGCCCGATTAGGACGACGGTGTAAACAAACGTGCAAACTGAGCTTTGGATTTGTTGTCTAACCACTATCACACCCGCCTGTATCTCTACTACATATCCCCTTCCCCCCCTCTAACGACATGGCTGACGCTGCTTCTGGTTCTGCGGACAAGTCTGTCCAGGTCAAGCTCGTCCTTCTAGGTGAGTCGAGGCGTCTGACGAGGCAACACCTCCATCATTCTGCTCCAATCCAAGACCGATACGGCGTCTCTGCTCTCTGAACGAAACACCTGACCTTTACGTCCTTCTCTGAACTTTTGGCTGATCACCGTGCTCTTTGTGTAGGAGAGGCCGCTGTTGGAAAATCATCCGTTGTCCTCCGTTTCGTGCGTCTCTTCCCGATGGCCACCTCGGCCACTATTGACCACGACCGTATGCACAGGTCTCCAATGAGTTCCAAGCCAACAAGGAGCCTACCATCGGTGCCGCCTTCCTGACCCAGAAGTGTCGTCTGGAGGACCGTGTACTTCGTTATGAGATCTGGGATACCGCCGGACAAGAGAGGTTCCACTCCCTGGCCGTAAGCACCCCTCACATCCGTCTCACATCTCTCACTCGGGCAAAGTCAAATTCACACTCGGATCTTGCATCTCGTCCCTGTTTTATAGCCTATGTACTACCGTAATGCCCAAGCCGCCGTTGTCGTCTACGATATCACCAAGGCCTCAAGTCTCGAGAAAGCGAAGACATGGGTGAAGGAACTCCAACGACAGGCGAACCCGAACATCGTCATCGCTCTCGCCGGCAACAAGCTCGATCTCGTCCAGCCCTCGGCCGCGACTTCCGGGAGTGGTGGGGCTACCGAGTCGGAGGACGAGGCGGACGATGCGACGGCGACGCCGGGTGAGGCCGCTGCCGGCGCGGGTGAGGGTGGTGAGAGTCTGAGGCAGGTCGCGAGAGAGGAGGCGCAAGCTTACGCCCAGGAGGCCGGGCTGTTGTTCTTCGAGACGAGTGCGAAGACGGGCGAGGGTATCGTCGAGGTGTTCACTGAGATCGGTGAGTTGGCGACGGGTTTTTGATGACCATGTGTTTTGCCTGTGACCGCTGACCCTGATGATTCTCGCGTATTTAGCTAAGAAGATCCCTATCGAGCACATCCTTGCCTCTTCGCGTGGGGCTTCTGGCCGTCCAGGTGCTGGAGGCAGCCGTGCAGGTGCTCAGGAGGGTGGCGTCAACCTCGACGACAACCAAGCGAAGAAACAAGACGCTTGCAATTGTTGATCGCACATACGTTCCCCTGTACACACCCCGTATACTTCGTCACTCTTGGATTCTATGCCCCCCCACTTACCTCCCTTTGCTCTCGTTCTTCTTTCTTTCTTTCTTTGCCTCTCTTGCTTTTGCTGTTCTTACGGTCTCTTCTCTGTCTCTATATATATGACATCCCTCTTATCGTCTGCCTTCGATGTAATGACCTGATATCCGACAATATTCATACGGCGGACTTCTTCTAGACTACCATCCGGAACGCAGAAAAAAGCAACTATAACTACTCCCATGACGATCTCACACAAAATCCGAATCAAGAGGCATGCTCAGGCATAACATCGACATACGGCGGTGGCCGTGCCACATTCTCATGGTCCCCGTCTCCAGCTGTCAAATAAGGCGGTGGCGCATGCGCATGCGGTGACGGCGGACCACCCACCGGCGCTTCTCCCTCTCCTTCGCCTGCCGAATGACGAGACGAACGCGGCGGGGGCGGGATCGGTAAAAGCGTCGGCGGAGACGTAGATGACGGACCACCCAACGTCGTCGTCTGGTGCGGCACGCCCTCTCTTGAACGATATTCAGAATGAATGGACGGTGGAGGGTCCGAGGGATCGTCCATGGGTGGAGGGGGTGGAGGGGGCGGACCCCCCGCTGCCTCTTCTTCCTCCTGCTGTTCGAGAGCGAGATTGAGCGCGTGCATCGCATGTTCTGGCGCGTCGAGATTAAGACGGGCAAGGTCGGACACGTTTGGATCGAGCGTCGCCATCTCGAGCGTCGGCGGCGGGGTGCTGTTCCCCGCACGTTCCACCTCCTCCGGATGTCCGTCGAACTGAGACGAAGCCGGGAACCCAAACAGCGTGCCTTCGCCTGCGATGATCAACCGAGGGAATCGAGGCGGAAGCGCTCCTGAATCGTTTCCCTGATCTTGCGAGGGAACGAAGATCTCGCGCTCGGATTCTTGGAAGGTAGGCAGGCGGGACGTTGAGGCCTCGGCGAAGGACGGAGGGGGCGCATCGCGATCCTCGAACGGTGGGGGCTCGCTGCTCGCGGTGAAACTTGGGCCTGCTTGGCCCTCCTCATAATGAGGCGCGGCGTCCAGAACGACGTCTTCGCCGCGTACCGTCCGCGCTGGGGGTCTGTCGTGTTTCTTGTGATATGCGGATCCGATGGAGTCCTCGACTTCAGGCAGGGGAGCCGGTGGTGGGAGGAAAGTGATGGGGATCGAAACGGTGGACACTTGCTCGGTGTGTGAAGACATGTTCCTGAAGGTAGCATGGATGCGTATCCTAAACGAAACGGAATGGAAGAGCGTCGACTGGGTGATGGACGCGCACTCCGTATCGCTGTCCAGGAGCCCGAACTCCTCTGCCGGAAGCGCCCTGTTCGACGAGCTCGGTGACGATGGCGGGGAAGACTGATGGAGCACGAAACGCAATCTGACGGCTCGGGACGTATGGAATCGACAGAGCGCTCCGGAGCGCGAAATGACGGTCTTGTAGACGGTGCGTCTGCTTTGGACGACGGGTGTGGCGTCTGCGCTCTGGGCTGCGGAGGAGGACGATGATGATGAGGCCACGGGAGGTTTCTCGTTATGGGTCGGCATGGAAAAGCCAAGGGGGAGACCGTGGCCGTGCGAGAGATCATCATCTGAATCAGCATCGCTATCCGAGTCTAGCAGTTCGATGTCCGATACGTCCTCTTCGTCGAGAGTAGAATCCTGCTTGACATGTACGGTCCTGACGAGCTCCGCTTTGATATTTCGCAGTCGAAGGCCGTGCTCGACCACGAGCTCTCTCCGTGGCGATGGAACGGTGACATATATCGGCACAGGTTCGAGAGCGGTGAAAGTCGTTCGAGGTACTTCGACCACTACTCGGGTCGGAGTGTGGAGTATACGGTTGACGGGCGAAATGCCCAGAGTATGCGTATGTGGAATGTAGCGCCTCGTATGGACCGTGATGGACTTGACAAGCGGCGGACATGACTCGTCGGCGGGATATAATGTGGCGGTCAAGAGATGGGCAAGGGCAGACTGGGGTGTATGGATACACTGCGGCGTATCCGGCGTGAGCGGGAGAGCGAAGGGAAACGACGACGTGAGAAACGAATCGGGATCCGTCTCGGTATCTGCATCGAACAGGACGATATCGGCGCGCGCGAGCTCGATGGACCGTTTCTGCGTGCTCTCCGTCGTGTGCAGAGACATCGTCCTTTGGAAAAGGGAAAGAGAAGGGAGGGACTCGGTTTCAGTGAGTGGAACGCGGACCAGACAAGTCGAAGAGCTCGACGGACACTTTTCTCCAGCGGTCCCCATCTGCGCCCTTGATCTGCAACTCGCCTTCTATCGCTGCCCGTTCGTTGTCCGCACCGAGGTAGCCCTGTTGGAACTGGAACGTGCTCGTGGCGGGGATGATGAGCACTTGCGTCTCCGTTGAAGGTGCACTATGACCGTCAGACATGACGTCGTCCTGAGGACATTCTTGAGCATACGTCGGCGGTGCTTCAGCAGCTGGCGAAGGCATATTATGAAGAGAGTAAGATGTGGAGGTAGAGGGTAAGAAGAGGACGAGGCGAGGATGATGAGTGTAAATGCATCTGTCCCAAGTCGGATTACTAGTGGCGGACACAGCCCTGAGCAAGTTGATGAGATCAGCCGCACTTAGGCGCCATCCTAGCAGCTCAGCCACCGCTTCGGTTTCACGTGAGGAACGTGGAGTAGATCCGCAAAATACAATAAATATAGCGAGCAAAGTACACAGCGATACACAGCGGACAGAATCCAAGCAAGCATAGATACACACACGACCCGACACTAGCCCACTCGCGTCAAGCTCTCCAGCTCCCTGAAGAACCCCTCCTCGAGTTCCTTAACCACCATCACCCCCCACACCATATCATCCTGCAAGCCGCCCAACATGCCCGTCCCCTTCTCTATCGAATCGTCTCCTTCGCCATAGCCCACTCCGAACGACAGCGCAGGCCCACCCGTCGTAGCCTGCTTCGTGTCGAACGCGTCCACCTCATCGTCGAGCAGCTTCATCGCCTCCACAGCCCGCCGCGCCGGGGAGTACCAGAACGCACGAACATTGTTCGGCACGTCCACCGTCATCCGCTTCACGAACCGGGCCATCACCCTCGCAAGCCGCAGACGTTTATCGTTCTTCAGCTGTTGCTTGAGCGAGGGAGAGGCCATGAACGCGAGGGTGTAGATCCCCATGATGATTTTCTGGACGTAGGCCAACCACAACTCTTCTCGGAGCAATGTGTAGTCGTAGTCCACCATGGGGAGCCGGTGGACGAGAGCGACGAAGAGCTGGCGTTGCCAGTCCTGTGGGACGGTCTTTGAGAACACCTGTCGGTTGACGTCGAGTTGCGCTATGCAGCTGAACACCTCGAGGGCTGCGTCGGCGATCGGTGGAGGTCGGAGAGCACTTCCCATTTGTTCGACTAGTGACGTGAGAGGAACCGCATCGTGAGGGTGAATGAGGACGGAGGCGACCAGCTCGAAGGAGCGCCTCGCGACTCGCTTGGAAGTCTTCGCAAGAGTGCTCGAGGAGGAAGAAGTGAGTGGAGATAACCGCGCGTGACCACTAACGTTGACGAAAACATATAGTGTGTCCCGCCGTACGGCCACGAGGTCGGCGAGAGAAAGGTTCGGGGATGTCGCATGGAGTTCACCGTTGGGGGACCGCCGGAGGCCACATAGGCGCAGGGTGACGTCCAACAGTCGGAGCTGTCCCGCCATGTATTCTTGATTGTCAGGTACGATGGAAAGATTGCGCAAGATGTTGAGAATGGCGACGATTATCTCCCCGGGGCGATGTTTCAACCCGAGCTTGGGATCTTTCGCACCCTGGCGGTCGGCCATCGGTGCGAACGCCTGGTTGCCGGTATCGACGACGCTGTCCATCAGCTCCTTGTGCGTCGTTATCGTCTCCTGTTGAACATCCACCGTGTCCTCCATTTCTCCGAACCCGAACTCCTCGATCAAGTCCAATAACTCGTCCAATAAATCTTCCGAGGCCGAGACCAAGAAACCTGCCCCATTCCCACCGCGCATGATAGAGAGCATGGTGAGCGTCGTGAGAGCGTAGCCCAGCTCGGTCGGTAGCCTCGAGCGTATGCACATCGTGAGCGCCTCGACGTCGACTGAACCCCACTCGTTGATCTCCCGTAACGGTCGACGACCATGGAGACGCATGTGTTCCTCCATAAGGACGCGCAGGTCGCGTCCGCCGGAGGTGGTGACCTCGCGAATGAAGGGCACATACTCGATTTTGCGACGCTGGCCTTGCGGAGACTGCTGAAGGGCGTTGTTCATGGCGTCCTTCGGCGCGGACTGGCTGCCAGAGGTGATGGGTGTTGAAGGAAGGACGCGTTCGACAGAAGACTGGGAAGGTTCAATTTAAGTAGGGGCCCGATGATGTATTCGCCGAGCACAAAATAAACACGTACCAACAGAGGCTCGGAAGGTTCCGCTGGAATATATTAGCATGAGAACAGGTCCGCGGGAGATAGTGGGAACTCTCTTACATGTTCTTTGTCGTGCTCGTTTCAGGTCCTCCTCGAGATCGGACTTTCTCTTCCTGCTCTCGGAGTCTGGGTCGAATGGCGTGTTGTGTTCCGAGTGGGACGGTTGGGCTAGTTAGGGGAGTGAGAAGCGACGAGTGGAAGGATTGGGAAACAGCATACCTTGGGATGGGGAGATGTTGACGGCAGACGCAGAGGACTGTCGTGTGATGTGTGGCGATATGTTTGGGTTCGCCGCGACGGAATCGGCACCCACATGGGACATCGAGTTGTTGGTGTTGTTCATCATCGCCTGTGGGTTCATGCCCCCACCCTGCATTTGTGCTGGATTGATACCCTGGGCCTGCGCGGCGGCGAGAAGGGCGCGTTGCTGCTGGTTTTGGGCATTCTTGCGGTAGAGTTCCTCAAACGGGAGGACGATGGCGCGGTAGTACTGAGCGAGCAAGTCTGCGACGGTCTGGAGGCCATTCTGGTGGGGAATGGAGTCGGGTAATTCGAATTGTGCGGAGACGATGCCCCAGAGGCCTTGTTGGGAGACCTGGGAGAAGAAAATGAGGATGATGAGAAAAGGAGGAGATGATATTCCGACCGACCTTGGCACCTCCGCCGGCTGAGAGGACGGTGTTCCAGAGCTTGAAGAGCTCGATGTCTCTACCGGCGAGACGGAATACGCCGACGTCACCGGTGAGCTGGAGGGCCTTCCACGGGGAGTTGTGGGGGTCGTAGTTGGGGGGATAGGGGACGCCGGTGAGGGCGGGCGGGAGGGGGGCGCCACGGCCGTTGTGGCAGACGGCGAGGGAGTGGAGGAACTGGGCCTGACGCTGCTTGTATGCGTTGAGGACGTTGTTCTGGGGATTTGGACGGGCCATGGGTTGAGCGAGGTGTTGAGTGTGTTGTGGGAACGGAAAGGCGTCGTGACCAGAGCTCAATCCGCCGAGCAATGCGCCCGAGGTTGGCCCGCCGCTGCGTCCGTTCTGCGCCAGCCGTGCCATCCCTGCCGCGTTCAGCGCCGCCATCTGCTTCGCCGTCGACGCGTCCAGCTGCCCCAGTCCCAGCAACGCCCCGTCCGTGTTGGATGTCGTTGCGTGCGGCGAGCTGCTCGACCCGAACGACTGAGTCCGCCCGTGCTGCTGCCCGTTACTGCGAAATCCAAATTGAGTGTGAGAGGCATGGCGTCTGGCCAAGATGTATCACTCACAACATCGGGATATCTTCTGAGCGATGCGGTATCGTCTTCGTCGCAGGCGTGGGGATCGGCGCGCTCGCTTCTCGCGATGGCCACCGCGTTCTCAGCCTCGTTTGTCTGTTTGTTCACAGCAGCCTTGAATAGCTCCTCGCAGACACGCACTCTAAGCTTGCTCTAAGCACCATACAACCATCTCCACATCCTCCCAACATCCTTTCCACCAACTCACTAGCTGCAGCACAGATCTCCCCGGCCTGCACGCGTTCGCAGCGTGTGACAGCTACCCTAAAGTCACTCGCGTCTTCGGTCGTCACGCCTCGCAGCTTTTTCTTTCCTCCCACCACAACCTCCTTCCATGCCTGCCTCTGAAATCGACGACATCTTCTCCTCCAAGGGGAAAGCAAAGGTCCCGCAGCCCGTCGCCTCATCCTCTACTGCTCCCCCGAAGAAGAAAAAGAAGGATAAGAAGCGTAAGCGTGAGGTCGACCCTCCTTCCGACGACCCAAAACCATCCAAACCTAAACGCGCAATCCCCGAGACCATCGTCGACCCTTCTGCCCAGTTGGCCGTTTCTGCACCACCTGCGAAGCGGCCAAAAAAAGCAAAGTCGACGGAGGCCGTGAAGGCTGCTGGGAAGGAGAGCGAGGCCCGTTTCAAAGACTCGAGAGGAACAGGACCAAGTATTCCTGCTCCTTTACTTCCTTCTTTCTGCGTTACAATTTTCTTCCAGGACGTACGACGGAGGAAGGATTCTCGATTTACAAGGAGGATGAGCTCGGTATCAAAGATGAAGGCGGAGGTGTGTTCTCTCCTTTTCTTCTCCTTAGTCGTTACTCACCGACACATCTCCAGATACACCACTGTGCCCATTTGACTGTCAATGTTGTAAGTGCGTCTCCCTTCGCTGCTCGGTTTACTCTCACATATGACCCGTTTCCAGGCTTTTGATCTTGTATCTTGCTATCAATATATATTTTCACCTCCGCCTGTCCGTCTCCTGTTTTTCTCCGGCTCTTTCGAAGCTACTCTGCCGGCGTCTGCTATGGCTCGAAGTGGTCAATGTGTAGCCCATATCGAGCTCCAGTCCTCATTCGCTATTCTCTCCTCAGCACCTCTCACCTGGGTGAGATATACCTACAAACCGCGTTCAGGAATACATTTCTCTTGTCCCTCTTTTGTCGTTACTAAATACCGTTGACAATATGATTCGCCTTGGAAGTGGTCAGTGTGAGTGTGCGATTCGTCTTTTCGGCTCTTTCGAAGCCTCTCGAGCTTTCATCCGTAGCTCGCAGAGGTCAAAAAGCAGCCAATATTGCCTGTTTATAATCTGCCCTTTCAGACATCCTCTTCGTTCTTTTCTTTCCACGTCTGAGGATCACTACGATTTGGGATACATCTTATCTGTAGTCAAATGTATCTTCCTTAGCTGTATCAATGCATAAACGTTTTCTGTGTCTATCTGTGAAGGTGTGAGAATCTGAGATCGCTCGTGTGCGCGGAGTACATCTCGAGTTCCCCGCAATTTGAAATCTCACCCTTCTTCCTTACCACTCCATTCCCTCGTCGGCGGTCCACATAGGAGAAGTTGAAGCAGTGGCCATGCTTTCCACTCGCCTCCTCTCAAGACGCTTCGCGGCAGTCACCTCCCGACGCTGGCAACACACCACATCCTCTCACCAACATCCACCTCTCAACCCCGTCACCTCAGAAGACATCGCGCACTTCTCCAAAATCCTCCCCCCTCACGCCATCCTCACCACCCTCTCCCCCTCCTCTCTTCCCGCCTCGGAACTCGAACCCTACAACAATGACTGGATGGGCAAATATCACGGCCAGGCGTCCACAGTCCTCCGGCCACAGACGACGCAGCAAGTGAGCGATATCATGAAATGGTGTTATGAGCGCAGGATCGGCGTCGTTCCGCAGGGAGGGAATACGGGGTTGGTTGGGGGGAGCGTGCCGCTGGGACGGGAGTTGGTTGTTAGTCTGGGGGGGATGAATAAGGTGCGGTCGTTTGATACGGTTTCTGGTGAGTCGGTGCTTGCGTTTGAAGTGTGTTTTTGGGAGCTGTTTTGATTGAGGGTAAGTTTTGTTGGGATGGTATGTAAGGTGCACTGGTGGCCGATGCGGGATGTATATTGGAGGTCTTGTCGGAGCATATTGCGCCGCATAAGCATATCATGCCGCTCGACCTTGGTGCGAAGGGGAGGTGCGTTATTTACAGTTACCCTCGAGTGTACTTGGCAGGATATTGACGAGCGAGACAGTTGTCAGATTGGGGGGAATGTGGCGACGAATGCGGGAGGGCTTAGATTGTTGCGCTATGGGTCTCTTCATGGTAGTGTGTTGGGTCTGGAGGTCGTCTTGCCCGACGGTACGATCCTGGACAACCTCTCGGTGCTTCGGAAGGACAATACAGGTTTGTCCAACACACTCTGAATTTGGCCACACCACTGAGGTTTTTCATTCGGTTCGGTAAAGGCTACGACCTCAAACAGCTCTTCATCGGCGCAGAGGGCACCCTCGGCATCATCACCGGCGTCTCGATCCTGACCCCACCCGCGCCCCAATCAACGAACAACGTCATCCTCGCACTTCCCAAGTTCGATAACGTCCTCCCTCTGTTCAAGACCACTCGGCAACACCTCTCTGAGATCTTGTCCGCGTTCGAGTTCATCGACCGGACGGCGTATGATTTGGCTGTTAAACATGGGCAGGGGAAGGCGCTTAGTGATGAGGAACTTGAGGGGGCGGAGTGTTTTGTGTTGCTTGAGACGAGCGGTGGGAAGGGCGAGCACGACGAGGAGGTAATGCTTTCACTCTCTTCCTAACATAACATGCCTTTTTGGCTTGACGTGCTCACCCGCACCTCGTAGAAACTCAACGGTCTCCTCGAAGCCCTCATGGAATCAGACGAACCCTTAATCAACACCGGCGTCCTCTCGCAAAACCCAGCACAATTCGCCTCCCTCTGGGCCCTCCGCGAAGGCGTCACCGAAGCCGTATCAAAAGAAGGCAAGGCCTACAAGTACGACATCTCCGTCCCGCTGGCGTCGTTCAAGGACGTCGTGGATACGACGCGGGAGCATTTGGATAGGTATGGGCTGATGAGGGAGGATGCGGTGAAGTTTGTTATTGGGTATGGGCATGTTGGGGATGGTGAGTGCTGGGATGACGTGTTATTGCGTTTTCTGTGCGGGACTGATGAAATGGAACAGGAAATCTGCATCTGAATATTATCGCGGCGAAGTATACGCCCGAAATCCAAGCTGCCCTGGAACCCTTCGTGTATGAGCTCGTTGGTACGTATACCTACCCGCTCTCTCAGTCCCACAAATTCCATCCCCTCCGTTCCTCATGATTTCGTATTTTTATCCGTCCAGCGGGTTACAACGGGTCTATCTCCGCTGAGCATGGTATCGGTGCGATGAAGACGCATGCGATTCATTACTCGAAATCTGGGGTTGCGGTCGATATGATGAAGAGGATCAAGAATTTGTTTGACCCGAGGGGGATTATGAACCCGGGTAAGGTTCTGGAGTGAGTTGTCGTCGTGGATGTGGATATGGACCTGTCTGTACGCTTCTATGTAGCACTACCTATGCACACGTCCATCCTATCCTCCATCCTATCTGTTCCACATACATTTTGCTATCGGCAGAGTCTGTGTCTGAAGATATATGTATGTGGCATGTGGCCCCAAAGCGCCACACCGCGACCGGAGTATGAATTCGAATTGCAAAATGGCAAAATGATATCAATCGCCTCAAAATCGCCCTAACCTTATTCTCGCTCCCGCACGGACCCCCAACCCCATTCCGAGTGTTGTCCACCATGGCGAGTTCCTCTCTTTCTCTTGGGCCACACCAACGTCGTACTTAATTGCGGGTTACCTCTTAGCCTATATTTCAGGATGCCAATGGGATCGCGGTCAAGTTCTTCATACAGAAGGACCTCGCGACGGAGATCCAGGCGGAATTATGCGATACGATTACCGTGCGTCTCACATCCCCTATTCCCCCTCACTCACCCTTCATATTCATCCCACATCTTCTGGCATGCGATACAGACCCTAGGCGGACGCGTCGAGTCCAAAGTCCCCCGACAAGGCTTCATGCTGACGCAGCCCGGCTCGGCCGAGGCAGAACGTCTGCGCCTCTGCTGGAACAGCAGAGACCGCCCGGAGCGATACTTCGTGCCGTATTCTTATGTCGAGGCGTGCAAGATTGCGGGGACGTTGTTGAAGCAGATTTTTTTGGAGAATGGGGAGCCGATTAAGTTTTTCATACATCCTAGTATTGCGAACCCGAATGCGAGGGCGGCGTTGAGTGCGCGGATCGCGGTAAGTTTGTTTGTCTTGGCTTGACCGGTTTCTTTGTGTTCCTGTTACGGTGGTACTGACATTACTCGGCTTGTTTTGTTTGTTGTGATATGATGTGGCGTGCAGCATTCCGGCGGCGACCCAATGGCGACCGCGCAGAACGCGCGCGTTATCCTCGCCGATCCCAATACCGAGGTCTTCCAGCATCTCGTGAATAGCTATCAGGGTGTTCCGGACAAGTACGTGGAGTCGTTCCTGTGGGTGAAGAAATGCGTGGAGCGGAGCGCGGTCAACTACACCCCTCTCATCTACAAGAATCCCGGGGGACGTCGGCCTGGGGAAGAGTAAGCGTTCTCGTTCTGTTAGTTGCTTTTAGGGGGTTTTTGAAGTTAATGTAAACATAGGCGCACGCAGTTCAGCGAGGAGGACGAGCAGCATCTGTGTCATTGGATCGCGACGAAGATTCCGTACAAGGAGACGGGCGGACGAACGGGGAATAGACTGTACCAACAGCTCGTCGAGATGGTCAGTCCCATTGCTCACATCCTCGCGACCAAAACGCTCACAATTTCCTTGCGGCGGTTAGGTCACCGAACCAGAATTCGCCTGGGTCACCCGCCACACCTGGCAATCCTGGCGCGAACGCTACAAGAAGAACTCCACTCGGCTCGACACCGTCATCCAAGCCATCGTCGAGCAGAAGAAGACGATGCCGGGTGAAAAGGGCCAGTACGGCTACGTCCGCAAACCGGAAGAGAAGAAACGGAACAAGCGGCGTAAGACGAGCGGTGCGGAACCCACTGAGGAGGACGATTTCCTGAATATGGCGGCTGCTGGGGCAGGTCCACCTCCGCCTCCGCCGCCGCAGCCCCAGATGCCCAACATGGCGCATACTATCCAGATGCCTATGCCTGGGCAGGAGATGCATCATGGTGTTCCTCCTCCTGGAATGGGCGGAATGATGTATGGTCCCCCGCCTCCTGGATATCCTGCACACGTTCCTCACATGATGGGAGGGCCCCCGCCACCTGGGGGTCCGATGGATCCTCATGGAGGACCGCCGCCGCCGCCACCCCCGCCTGAGCTGTTGCAGCAGATGAGAGCAAGTCCAGCGGAGGAGGAGATGGAGGAAGAAGGACCCGAGTGGACGGTCAGGGTGGGAAACGAACCTCCGCCAGCCTGGGGGAAGAGAAGGGCTGAAGAGGAACATCCTGGAGATGACAATGATCCGAAGAGGCTGAGAACGGCGTACGTTGCTTCTTTTCGACATCGATCGCGTGATATTTACTGACGCGTTTTTTTCGTCGTATAGTGATGAGCAACAGGGCGTGCCCCAGCCTCCACACCCGATGCTCGGTGCTCTTGGGCCAAATGGTGGACCCAACGGCATGCACGTCGTCGACCAGGGTATTTTGGATATCGCCCGGGAGTATCGCTTCACCGTGGAAGAAGTTCATGAGTACTATGACCGTTGCGGTGCCATGGATCGCACTCGTGCGCGTTTCCAGAAGATGCGCGAGACCTTGAATGCGCTGGAGGATGATGCTCATTGATTTGGAATGCTAATTTTACGACGGACGAGTTAGATGCCTCTGTACGATACTTTCCAATCGTTTTGTTTTTCTTCTTCTTGGTTCTTGTTCAGAGTCTTGTTTCTGTTTCCTACGGTTTCGAGAGATATCATGCTGTCCGTAGACTCCCGATGGCATCCCACAGGAGCTGTATGTACAGACTATACATTATGACAGTCATGCGTCCGGTCCATCCAAGTCCGTCATAAGTTTATAATCCGCCGCTCTCATGGGCGCCGATGGACTATCGAACGGTTTTCTTCGTCTGAACGAATTCGTTTATCAGAGCTTGTCACATGCAGTACAATAAAGCTGAAGACATACTTTTCGCCAGCAGCCGCAGATGGGAAGGACCCGAACATATCTGGATGCTTGGGCAATGGCGACTCGCTAGACGATGTCATTCAGTCTCGTAAACAGCCATTGGAAAGCGGGCCGTGCAAACCTGAAGTATGGATGCTGCAGAGCCTCCTCCGCCGTTATCCTCCTCTCAGGATCATACGTCAACAGCGACATGAGCAAATCGATCCCTGCCGCTGTCATATACTGAAACTTCTGCCTGAATTGGTGCGGTTGGGGGGAGGGGAGGGTGAGCGTCTTCGCGAGCGGTAATGAAGAATATTCTGGCCAGGAGTTGGTGGTGGGTGGGCCGAGGAGTTTAAAGATCATGGAGAGGAGCTCGATTTCGCCTTTCGCTTGGAAGAGCGGTTCTTTGAGCAGGAGTTCGGCGAAGATGCAGCCGACGGACCACATGTCGACGGCGGTCGAGTAGGATTTTGCGCCGAGGAGAATTTCTGGAGCTCTGATTCGAATGTGACGGTAGGTGAGGAGGTTCTAATATAGAGATGGAGGGGTAGACATTACCGGTACCACAGAGTAACTACGAGCTGGGTCAGCCCGCCGACACCGACGGGGTCTCCGTATCTTCTGGCGAGCCCAAAGTCAGCAACTTTGATCGTCCCTCGATTGTTCATGAGAAGGTTGCTGGTCTTGAGATCTCGATGAAGGATCCAATTAGAGTGACAGTGAGCGACGGCGGAGAGCAGTTGCAGCATGAGGGTCTTGATCTCGGACTGGAGGAACGGAGACGGCATGAGGGTCAACAGTGTTTTGAGGTCGTGCTCAATGAAGTCCATCACGATGAACACCCTTTGGCAGATGACCACAAAAGCAAAAGAGAGAAAAGGGATTGTATTGCGCATGGTGGATGAGAGGTACGGCTATGATACGGATGCGACACGTACTGCGTCAGGGTGTCGCCGACGACGACTTCACGAATCCCCACGACATTTTCGTGTCGGCAGGCGACGAGTGCATTGATCTCGCGCAGAGCGGTGATGGGAAAGCCGTGCTTCTCCTCGTCGAGCTTCAGCTTCTTGAGCGCGACGATGTCCCCTGTCTGTTTGTCCTTCGCACGGAAAACGATGCCGTAGGACCCTTCTTCAATGGAGTTCAGGCGCTCATAGCTGTAGACAGATCGCGAAGGGACAATTGAAGGGTGATGAGTCCTTGGTGGGACAAAGACGCTGTGAGTGTGGCGAGGGCTCGGTTGCTGAACTGGAGATGGGGATGGTGAATGGGTGCGACTAAGAGATTGTGAGGCTGCAGGAGCTCGAACGGTCTTCGGCTTGTGTCTTCGCTTTGGAACTGGTTGGGGTGTTGCTACCGTCCCTTCGCTGTCGTCCTCGTCCCACTTGGAGCGTTTGCGAGAGGGCGTTGACGTTCCGGACATCGTCGAGGTGGCGAAGAACAAGTCGCGGCGAACTTCCTATTTCTGATTTCACGCGCGGGATGCCGGGCCGCCGCGACGCGTCTGCAGAAATGTCGTCGTTCGCGAACTTGGAAACACATGCGTCCTCAAGCGGTTGCTCTCCTCCACTCACACGACACACGCTTTTCACGACATCCTTAGACGACTTTCTTCTGCTTTGTTTTGCATAATCCACAGTAATCCACACCCTCTTCACCGTCAAACACGATGGCGAACGGGTACATATTCTCACTTCAACCCACGTTCACTCAAGGCCTCATCATCGGCCAATTCTCCATCTTGTTCCTGCTCGCGGTCATCCTTAAATTCCTTTTTCTCGATTCAGCCGAGGATACCTCTCACTCGCGAACGAGTGAGGCACCGCGTCAGCAGAAGAAGGTGTCGTCTTATGACCGTAAGCAGGATGGTTTGGATGCTCTACCTGAGTCTACCGAATGGTTTAATCTGGTCTTGCGACAAGTGCGTGTTCTCTCTTTCTGCATGCTTGTCTTTTCTACTTATAACATGCGCGAAGGTCGTAGAGTCGTATAGGTCACGATTGAGGGATGACTTACCTGGCCTGGAAGGCGACGAGGTCCTTCGGCGACGGGTGGAGGACTTCGCCAACCAGGTCAGACCAACGGGGTTCCTTGTGAGTATTGCATTGCCCTTTGTTAAATCTATACCGAACCTTGACGGTTTGTATCATAGGATCCAATACGCGTCCATTCGGTGGACTTGGGCGTTTCTGCGCCTCGCCTCTCGAATGCGCGTTCGACGCGTCCACAGAATATTGACAGATCTCTGGGTGACCCGGTACGCAAGCATTTCACGCTGACCCATGTACGCGTGACTGACACGTTACATCCATCTAGCAAACCGATCTTGACCTCACATACACGGATACCGTATCAATATCGCTGTCAACGGCCTACCTATTCAATTATCCCATGCCCGCTTTTGCACGTCTTCCAGTCTCAGTCACCATATCTCTATCATTATTCTCTTCATCAGTAAGCTGCTCCTCGAAATATCCCCTACATATGAGATGCTGACCCGAAAAACAGATAAGCATCATACCACCAGTCCCTGGATCGCACGCACCATCCCTCACAATTCGGATACCCCCCACATTTACTCTCAAACTCACAAACACATCTCTCCTCGGCAGCCGTGCCAAACTTGCAGACGTACCGAAACTACACGAGCTGATAGAGTACCAGATTCGAAGACAGATCGCGCAGAGAGGCGAATATAAGATCGCGCTGCCGGGGCTCGCGAGTGTGAAGGAGGTGAAGGAAGAAATCAAAAAGGAGAAGCTCGAGAGAGAGCTGGACGATGTTTTGTACGCCGCTGTATCATGACCTTTTGCTAATTCTATGGGTTCTGTGGATTTTAAATGTGGTTGTCCAGCGCCATAGGGGCCGCGTTCGGGTTCTGGCTCGTTCATGACTTTACTAGGCGCACGGCGTTTGCCGTTTGTGCGTGTCAAGGCAGCATACAGCAGTTTACCAATTGATAGTCCGGCCCGTTTTGCTACATACGTGCGGAGCTTGAAAATTGATCCCTATTTCGTACAGTAGCCTTGTTCAGAGTGCTCATATCGAGCCCTCATAAACGCAGTATATGAGCTCGTATATGAGCTCGATATGAGTTTGAGCTGCCCCCTGGGGGCAGCTCAATTCTAAAATCTGCTCGAGCTACTCGAGCAGGCCCTCATATCGTATATTGCGATGGATATGAGGGAAGCGTGCTTGCTACCGAAAACGGTAGATGCCAAGACTCACGGGCGCAATAGACGTTCGAGAACAGGAACGAAAGTCGGCGGCGGAGCTTGAATGCTGAACGCAGCCGCCGCCTGCCGTTCGACGTACAAAGGTGGCGCAGGTTGGCACAGGTGGCGGTAACAGACACATCTTGCTTCTCCCTCGTCAAATATCAATGGAAACTCTGTTTTTTCTGTGGATTGCATGAGTCTAGTGCTACTTGAGCCTATCTAGGTAGCCAGTATCACTTCAGATTTGTCTTTAAGAATGACCACTTCAGTATCCTAGTAGGAAAGCCGCAAGGTGACATCGAT